TAAAAGGACCAATCTCTTTACTGCTCGCCAATAAATCAATCTTACTTACAGGCGAACTTAATTTAGAAAATTTCCGTAGATTAGCACACTACTATCGCAGTGGTGGACCACTTCTGACCACAAGGTTCGCGTTTTTCTCCGTCCAAGTTGAAGTAAGTATTCTTCAGTGGCACGTTCAAGTTTGTGCCTTTGTCTTCAATGTCACTTGTTTTCGTAAGTGTTCTTTTCAATTTCTGTTTGGGTTTTCGGTGCTATTTTGTTCATTCATTGAGAAATTAGTTTCAATCTTTGTTCTTCTAGCCGAATGAGAATCAGTACCGTATTCGCACGTGTATAGGCCGCACTTTTTTCCAAATAAATTTTGTGCAAAATGAGGGTGCGGCCTATACACCGTATAACTTAAGAGCCCATGGCTGTAAATATCGAGAATCGCTGGCCAGGCTAAAAAAATCGAAAATTCTGATAATTTGTCTGGAAAACCCTTTTAGGGAGATGTATTCAAAAAAAATATTTCGAAGTTTGAAAAATCAAATGTTTCCGAGAAAATGGGGAAAAACGAAAATTTGGGTTTCTACCCAATTAATTATGCAAAAAATACAGTAAAATTGACCAACTTTAGTGTGCGAGTACTGAAGGAGGATGTTTGGTAAGAAATCGGGGGTGTTTTTACTTCAAAGTATAACTCATTTGATTTTTATTTGTGGCATTTTAAGGAGCTTTGGTTTAATTTTAAAATTCACATGATTTTTTAACAAAGTGCTGTCAAACGCTTGTTGCAAAAAGCGAAAAATCGAGCAACTTCAAGCCTTCAAAACGCGTCTTGGCATGTGAGAAATCTTACCAAACTACATGCTGGCACAAAGTTTGGTCCTTATATGAAAATAATATGAAATAAAAAATCTGGGTAATTCAGAAAATTGCCGGCAAAATAAAAGAGTTTGCAACGCACTGTGGCCAAGGTCAAGAATTTGGATGATGCAAATCAGTTGTAGAAATCGTACTTGAGAGCTACGAAGTAAACAAGATAGTTAAAGATGGTTAAAAACTCTTTGATATGGAAATGATTTGAAATTATAGAATAAAAAATCCGCAGACATTGCAGAAGAGGGCTGTAAATTGATGCGTAGATACGAAATTTTCTGTTAATTTGAATTGCAGAGACTGTTATTGTCGACTCGCTATTTCAATAGCACTACCTACACCTAACTATAGATAAGGGCCGCTTTATAGTTCATCATTTTTGTTGACAAGTGGTTTATTATCGATATCGTTCTTAGTTGAATAGTTATGTTTTCTGCAACTGCGATAATATTTCTTTTGAAATATCTTGGATATCTTGGAAAAAGTTATGTGAGTAAACAAAGTCACGCAACACCGCAAGCTTCTGCTGTGAAGTTTTTCACCTCAAGATAACAGCCCAACCATTTTTATGCTATTTACTCTTATCTTTTTCGGAAAAATGGCCACATTTCTGTCATAAAACTTGATAAAAAGGACTTATGTCACGGTAGCAATTATACCGTGTTGCAGTCCGGGCGATAATTCTCTATGATGCAATCACGGTCTTTTTCTTAAAGGTAAACACGTGCGAGGTTTTTCATAGAGCATAGACAGAAAACGATGTCATTCTGTAGCTTTGCTTCTCTTCTTGGAGGGGCTTGTGGTGCAGGTTCTGAAAATCCAAACATGGCTGACTTTGTCAAATTGAAAGACTGTGCTAGAGATCAAGTGTTTCCATGTCCAAAAGAGGGCTGCACGCATAGTTTCCAACGGCACTCTTCTCTAAAAAAGCATCTCGCGTTCGGAACATGCACAAAGACGGTTGAAAGGGAGACACTTCTTGGTAAAGCGAAGGTTAAATATGCTGCAAGGCTCGAGGAAGGTTCAAGTTCCGTGCCAACTATTCCTCTACCTCATGAAACCTGTCCCCGTAGCGCTGGATATGTAACACTGCCTGAAGGCTTCGCTTTAAAACAAGTAAAGAAAGTTTACCGGTTTAACGAAAAGCAACGAGAGTACCTGACTTACCATCGGACAAGAAAGCGGCAAGAAGGTCGACGCGGAAATTGTTGCAACAGAAATGAGAAGAGCAAAGGAATTGAACGGGGAGCGCTTGTTCAGTGTCTCTGAGTTTTTTTTACTTAACAAGTAGCTTCATTTTTTTCCAGAATGGCAGCAAAAGTGAAACAGCAGACAGTTCCCTGCGCACAAGCTGTAACTGAGCAAGATCTCGTTGCTATGGAGGAAGAATTTAATTTGTCAAATGCTAAGGAGTCTATTTTTGAGCAGTCAAATGTAACTCATTCTATTCATTACCAACAGTACAACTGTTCCATGGTCGAGAATAACACACTCAAAAATCTTGAACTCGCATTCTTAAAACTCCTTTGCGAGAGTTTCAATCTTGCATTACCACCTGGGGTTGATCATAGAAAAAAGGCTCTGCTCGAAGACCTTGTTAGATGCTGCTCTTGCAGTGCAGTTTAAAAGGCAAATGACAAAAAGCTGCTTCAAAAAAATTGAGTTTTATATGAACGTTGATACAAAACGGGGGCCGTGTAGCATATTTTGGATCGGAGGAGCTATTGCAGTTCCCAAGTAGTGTGAGCTCATTGGCACCAACTTATAATTATCTATGAGGGCCCTGGGGCCTCCCCTCCGAGGAGGGCCTCCTTTTGTCTGTTTCTTAGTACGCCTTTCTTAGTACAGAAAGACTGCTGACAGGGTATCCTGGGGTATTCTCCCCCGGCAAATTTTGAAATCTAGAGCTTCTGAAATCACCGGAAACACGTTTCAATCCAAAGGAAAATTTGTCAAATTTTTAATTCAAAGATTAAAATTAATAATAATGATAACAAAAAATTGTTCTTGGTGGGGCCACAGCCCACTCAACCCCATAGCTCCGCGGTCCCCGTATTAAAGGCGCAAACCGGAAATGAAAAAGTCCCCTTCGAACTGCACTTGGCAGTCAGACAGGATCAGGCCGGCTGGATGTTGTTCGATATAGACTCATAAAAGAATTTATACAAGTAATATAAAACGAGATATATAGGACTGGGTGCTTTAGAATGGAGTTTTGACGAAAAAAGGATTGTGTCCGCTTTACTCGGCAACTTAACCTTTGATCCAACGTGACAATTGTCACGCAATTGAAACATTTTGCTTTTCGTCAAGACAGTTACGAGAAATGAAACAAAAAAACTCATTGGCTTAAAAAACGAATTAAACGCTATTAAATGCGGATCATTATTCTTGTAAATTTCATGTTGTAGCCGTCAAAAGAGCCTTTCCTACACCAGAACCGTTAGGCGGTACGATTTCTACTACTGATTTGCATCATGCAAATTCGTGACCTCTGGCCACAGTGCGTCGCAAACCTTTATGTTTTGCCGGCACGTTTCTGAGTTACCCAGATTTTTTACTTCATACTGTGTTAGTATAAGGACCAAACTTTGTGCCAGCATGTAGTTTGACATGATGTCACACATATCAAGACGCATTTTTAAGGCTTGAAGTTGCTCGATTTTTCGCTTTTTACAACAAGCGTTTGACAGCACTTTGTTAAAAAATCATGTGAATTTTAAAATTAAACCAAAGCTCCTTAAAATGCCACAAATAAAAATCAAATGAATTATACTTTGAAGAAAAAACCGATTTCTTTCCAAACATCCTCCTTCAGTACTCGCACACTAAAGTTGGTCAATTTTACTGTATTTTTTGCATAATTAATAATTAATAAGGTAAAAACTCGAATTTTCGTTTTTCCCCATTTCCTCGGACACATTTGATTTTTCAAACTTTAAAATAATTTTTTTGAATGTATCTCCCTAAAAGGGTTTTCCAGGCAAATTATCAGAATTTTCGATTTTTTTAGCCTGGCCAGCGATTCTCGATATTTACAGTCACGGCCTCTTAAATCTTTTTATCCCAGTTTCCCTCTTTCATCAAGAGGCAAGGCCGCTAAGCTAAGTTTGCTCGTGTCCCCGATCACGAACGCAATTTCACGCGATCATTACTGAGGAAATAAAACAAAATGTTAGTGTACTTGGAATACAAATCTAGCAAAAATTACCCAGGTATCTTTCTTTTACCTTTTTTTGACTTTAAGACCATTTTGAAGATATGACTAGCCATTTTTGTTTGCATTTGCAATGTTTGTTCGATGATGTCATGCCATGCTAGATTATTCATCGCGATGAATTTTATGATATAAACAAATATATCTTGGCGGTGTGCGGCACTCGCCAGGTCTTTTGCCCTTTCGAGAAAACGTGAAATTATTTTTTTTCAAGAAAATATGGTCAAAAGTCGGGGTGCGGCTTACTCACGTGCGAATACGTTAACTTGATTGTAAAATAATAATAAATTTAAAATCCTTTTTTACAAACTTCATCCATATTTATGTCATGAAGGCAATAAACCGCACTTTTTATCAGCATAATAAACCACTCTTTGAGTGTTCTTCCGACATACCGCGTGGTTTATTTCGTCAGTAAACTGATAGAAATGCAGTTTATTTCTAAATGATATAACTTAGACAAAACGTGCGCTCTGATTGGTAAAAATCTATGGTGCCACGCGGAACGAATTCCCAGATTTAAATTTATTGAAGGCCTTTGCTTTAGAAGGAACGCAGAGGGCGCTTTGAACGCCGCCGAAAAAAAACGATAAATATTTTATTTTTCTAACATTTATCAAATGTTGCTCTCAAAATGCATTTTAATGTGCCATCCACGCCGGGCTGGCGCGTGCCGTGAAGTGGAACTTTGTCGCCCGCTGTTGTTTGAGATTGTACAGCGGAAATGCGAATAAAAGTACAAAGCAGTTTTCAAAATGGCGGCTGAAAATAGCATTTTGAATGCTATTGTGGCTCTTCGTCCTTTACGTGATGAAGTCGATAATTTCTTTTTGTTTGAAGAAGAAGTAAAAACAGCTCTCACTTCAATTTTGAAAAAAACCGTGTGGGCCAAAGCTCTTTGAAACGAGCACAAAATGTCACAAATTCCAGCGACAGCACTCCTGGAAGGAGAAGTGAAGATGTGGCTTAAGATGCTCCATAGGCGCCTCAGTCCAAGAATGAAGGCCCGAAGCGCTTGGACTGTAGAGTTTAAAAGGGCGATGTCCTCGGAAATATTTTCCTTAATTTTACAGATGGTTAAAAAGGCCCGTTCCGCTTATGGTGTTGTGCACAACGAAGAAAAACACACAGATATAATCTACTATAACAGAGAGAACAGACTGATTCGAGATTTTGCCCAGTTATCTGAGCTAAGCAGAGACTCAGTCCGAGAATTCCTTATTAAGCAGAGTAAAGGAACAAGAAAAGGAACTTCAAAAGTTTCCATAACTTCTGAAACGCCTTTCACCATCACATTTATTAAGAGGACATAGCAAGTGGTGGGTATTGTCTCAAGTCTCTATATGCACCATTGACTTGGTTTTCAGTTTCTAAGCCCTCTAGATAGTCTGGGTCAATTTCATGAACAGTCCCAATGTCAATCTTTTTTAACTGTTCTACAAGGTTACTATAAGTTAGAAGCTTTGGAACCTTACAGCCTTTACAAATTGAAATACTTGTTCTTTTCCCTGGTTTGCCTTCATTTGATTTCATTGAAAGCACCAGTCTTATACTTTTGTACTTTCGTTTCCTCATTACACCACTTGCATAATATGTTGCAATACTTCGAACAATGTTGTCATCTGACTTTTCAAATTCTAACACACTCTTCTTATACTCTTTACAAACTATTCTATTGGTCAACTGCTTGTTCTCTGTCACATATTTTGTTAACTTATCTAACTTGCATCTCTTTTGCAGAGTGTCAAACATTCCCTCGAAACAGGCTGAGGAATGTTCATTTGAGCTCCCATGAATTTTGGCAGCAGCTTCAATGGTTTCATGCCTCCTTTTTCTTGCGGTCCTTGGTCCCAGTGTTGATTCTCCATTGACAAGTGCAGTAGGGCTTCTTGTTCGTGCCTGAGATACCTGTCCCTGTGACTAAAATATTGCTAAATTAGACACTGGGTAGTAACACAATTATTTAAATTAGATGTGGTTGGATGATAACAAAATAGATATTTAGCCAAATCTTACATTCAATATGTTGAAGTTTACAATTTAGAGACACTGTCATTTATGACAGTCTTTACTGACCAAATGAACACAGGCACTCGCTCAGGTTACTTGCATAGGTACCGGCATAGAAGCCTGACCATGGCTGTCATTCTGGCACTGGCTCTGTGTTAAGTGGTTAGTTCACCGAAATTGAACTTGCAAAATATTTTTTTTTATTTTTACAAAATTGAATATTTTTCTGTTCACATTATTAATAAAATTTGGCATAAAATTAAACCTCATCCAACCACTAATCAATGCAAACCTACAGACTTAGTTGGAGGTTGCGCCCAGCAGTTTTTTGCTGCATACTTACTGGTACTGGTAAAACAACCACAATAAAGAATCAAGAGTATACTCACAGGAATATTTTCTAATTCATTTGTTATGTCTTTGAAGTGTTCCCTGACTGTGGCCAACTGAAAGCAATTATTATACAAGTGATTTCATAAGCACTGATTGTTTAATTTCAAGTGTCATTTAGAGTTTAAACACATAAAAAGCTTTTACCCTGTCAAAATTGAAATTCAAGCCTCCCCACACATGGACCTCCACCACTTTCCTATAATCCTTTGTTACAATATTCTCTGATATTGAAAATAAAAATCTTCCCAAAACATTAATACTGGACAAATTTATCTCACCTTTTCTTGGGCTCGCTGGACTTTTTTGTACTCTGCCGATAGCTTGCGATTTTCATCAACAGCTTTCTCCCTTGCAACCTTGCGAGCTTTCATGAATTGAGCCAAGTTAAAGCGCGTGTTCTTTGTGTGCGGCATCCTAGAAATTAACTCATAAAAAACTAAGGAAAGAAGGCAAAATTAGGAAAACAAAAATCATAGAGCTTTTGTCAAGGCTTTGAAGTTTCGGTTCGTAGCACAAATTCTCGGATAAGTAGAGAAACTTAAAAAACTATCCTAGCCAAAAATACGATAGAAACGACAAATAAACCTTACCTTTTCTTTTACTATTTCCTCTACTGTCTCTTGCTAAGCGAACATCGAAGAAACCATGGCATATTTAGTATCAAAATGACGGGAAAACTGTGTACTTTCAGCACATTCGAGTTTTGGCGCCTTCGGACTAACTCCAGGACCGCTCGGAGGCAGTTTTCAACAGGCGTTAACTCAGTTCCAGGCTTCTCTAAAAACCACACGGTCACAAACGCCATATTTGTGGACGCTGATTGTTCCGCTTCAGAGCGCTCACCAGCCCGGCGTGATCGAAGAATATTTCAATTTGGACGGTGAAAACGCTAACTTTGTGGTCAGAATTGTTCTTCAACTGCGATAGCTATCCTATAAACAATCCGAGAAGCTCTAAGGACATCCCAAAACAATCATTCCGTACCAGAGAACAGCCAGATGCATACTTCTCATAATCAAATCGATATCAATAGCAGCACTCAGCGACATACAGACTGCTGTCCCCCTAACCAGTTCCATACGATTTTAAGAACTATTTAATTTATATTAGAGTTGACTCAGTGTATTTGAATTTTCAGCATTTGAATTGCTGACTCGGCGCACTCGACCACCATGTTTTTGTATGGCGTGTTTCATTGAGATTAGTCGATTAAAACCTAAGGTCTATCAGAGGTAAACGCCATCTTCATATCGCAATTCTGTATTTATAATGAAGTATAGGGTTACAGGGAAATCTTGCCCACTCCTTTCCAGGACGAAGAAGTTACGGATCCCGTACATATCGCGGTTCATTTTTGAGCTAGAACTCAATTATTTAGAGGAGAATTTTACGCTTATATTGGAGATACTGATGGAAAAATACATGCAATTTTAATGAAACATGTATTTAATCTTACGAGCTGAGCGCGTTTCCGCCAGAAGTAAAAATGAATCTGAGACACGCCCACAAAAGACTTATTTTCGCGTTTCACTGTCATATTCTTATCTAAACTCACCAGATGACCAGTGAGAGCTCGCGCACTATCTCATTTATTTTATAAATACGGCCATATCGTAAGTGACATTATTGTAAGTAATGTATTCTATTACATTGTACTGTCAAGTACTATAAAAAATAATTAGTTTTATTACAAAAAAGAAAATGAAAAAAATTTCGGCCATACATATTATTTCATCTCAAGGATGAATTATAGATTTCATAAGAGCTTCTTCCTGCATTGCTGGCAGCGCCCGTTTCTTGGCGTTTTTATAGACCTCGACTTCATCTCAGTCTGTGAAACGCGTAAGAAGAAGCCAGTCAATTTCCAGGCATCTCAATCGCACGCTTGAGCAACAATGCATATATCTTTTGACCTATTTGCCGACAACAACAGCACTGCCTATGAATGAAAGTTTACACATAAGATTCATTGCCTCCAAAAATGCACCGCCTCCTCATTACCGTGAATGAGTGATATGTCTAATAGCAAGGGATTTTTATTCGATAGAGATCACGTTTTTCTATGACTGGCAAAATGAACTTCTTCTTAACTCTTATTAATTTTAGACACAAAATTGCAGCCTATACATTGACTTTCAATGCAGCCAAAGTATATAATAGTAGTTGTTTCGTGGGTAAAGTGAAGGCAGGTGTTAGTGAAAAATATGCAGTAAAGATACGAGAACATATGGCGCATTTAATTAACAGTAAAAAATAGCCCAGTCATCATTCATCTAATTAATGTATGGGATCTTTATGATGTTTTCCGAAATACCTCTCTGGTTACATTTTCAAATTCATCTTTGATAGAGAATTGCTAGGTCACAGGATACGTCAGTGCGGACATTTCGGGATATTTACTGAGCTCGTGGTTCAAAGTTTTAGAACAGTCGTCTTATTTCCTAAATTCTCAAAATGCTCAAGAGCTCAGTAGGTTTGAATAATTAATACTAGGTCACATAGCCAGAAATGAAAAAACCAAACAGATAATTGTGCCCTGGGAGGCTTAATTTAAATATAAATTTGTGCTGTCTATTCAAAGATAGACACCTGTCTAATCATCATGGATGAGGCATATGGTAATTTTTTCGCTTATCATTCTATAAGCGGAAAGATGCTTTGCCAAACGTTTTGAGAGCATTACAAAGTGGGCTTCAATAGATTTCTCAGAGGTGCTCTGGCTAGAGTCATTTCATCTTCGAGATAAGGTAAGGAAATTATAGAATATATAAGTTAGGCGATTAGTGCTGCTTAACATGCGCTAAAGAGATAAAATAAAGACATTGAGGCAGCTCGGGAATTCAGATTAGGAGGGCCCCGGTAATTGAAACAATGTATGTACGACATGCCAAAAAATGTGAAAAGCATTTCGCGGCACGCTTGTTAAGTTCTAGAAGGTGTTCAACAATATTTCGTGGTCGGAGTAAAGATTAAAAGCAAATTACCAACAGCTAAATTTAAAGAGCAGAACCCAGACTGTTCGAGAAATTTGAAAGTAGTAATTACGCCCTTACCGTATAACTCGAAGAGAAATTAGGAAAAGAAAGGATCGGGTGTCTATCACGTCTCAAAGAATTGAATGTCATTTAGACGCATCGGGATAGAGTTTTTAGCTCAATGATTTTCCTCTTGCTCTGTTTGAAATAAAAGGGTAATTTAGTGTTTACAACTGCGTTGAAAACGTAGATTCTCTAATCACCTATTTTTGTTTCAAATAGTTGTGTTATAACATTCAAAGTTTCTTGGGTAACCACTCTTTCTTAAACCAGGTGCAGCTAATTCTTTTTCGCTTTTTTCACAAGGAGCATTTGAATTAAACGATAATAGACGAATTTCAATGCTGGGTATTTTACTTATAATACACCACGCTCTTACAATTACACAATAAAAGAGAAAGCTTGAAGGTTAACGCCATTTTCTTTATGAGAACGATATATTTATCCACTTCAGACTTTAAGCGTAATGATGGCTTCCTGTGTTGATTCATTATTTAAATTTGTATAAAATATTCACCCCGAAGTTCATTTAAATTCATGCTGGGAGCCAGAAAGCAGCCTTTAGCTTTCACAAACTCAATCATATAACTATATTGATGTAAGTCCCTTGAAGCAAAAGTGTTCTAAAACCTTCATAAGCCATGTAGAGTTTAATCATAAGAGGAAAAAACACTTTTGAAAAGAACTATGACAGCATCAACAATGAAGCTGTAAAAGATCAAATTAACCTCACGAAACATTGATAATTGGAAAAACAGAACAAATGACACCCTCTGGATCAATACCATTCTATTGTTTCTAGTCAATTATTCACGAAGTATATACCAAAGTGTCATTGTTCCTTCAGTTCGAATGAATGAGGCGTCATGGTAAAAAAAAGAAAAACTGATTATGCGTTGCGTGCATGTTATACTGCAAGTGAGTAGAGTATTTTGGGTGGGCAACTGAATTGTCTGCATGTTAGCCAATGAAGCTGGTCCAAGAGTAAATAAGGGCTCAAAGTACGAAGAAGTGACACCAGCTGTAAAGCACCGATTAATCGCATGCTTTTTTCGAAAAAAGAAACTTCCGAAAAATCTCTTTTATACACCGTATATGGTTTAAGGAACGTTTTCTTTCCTTCAAAGAAACTTCACGAATACTTGACGAAACATTAGATTGTATTTTGATTCTAAAAAAAATGTTAAAAACAAAATTTAAAAACATTTAATGTTAAAAAAATTTGAATGATCAAAATTCTGCAAAGTGTACTGAAATTTGAATTTTAGATCCTTGTGCGAAAAGGTGCAGGAGTAGTTTTCAATAACCGTTTTCCACCGGTCCACCGTCGCACCTTTACATTTGTTTATTAACCTACCCGTAAGCAACATGAAAAGTCCGAAAATAAAAAGAAATAAAACGTCAATAATTCCTTAGGTATAAACAGATTTCTTTTAAAACATAGATCCAAAAGATGCGTAGAGTAAAAATAGTACAACAAGCAACAGACCTCCTGGATTTTCGACGGTACAAGAAAACAGGAAGGAATGAGAAGGGAAAAGGTAATAACCTCACTTTTGTTAAAAATACATCTAAAGGCCTTAAACTATCGAAGTGAATTAGCTTGACTGAAGACTTAAAGCAGTTAGTCTTTGTCAGACTCGGTAAAAGTTGATAAGAAGAACAGGAAGAAAAAAGGGGAACGAGAAACTGCCTCTAAAGTTGCAGGATCTAAAACTGCTCATGTTTCCGTGGAAACCTCTGAAATTCAGCTGATCTAATAATTAAGGGCCTCAGAAACAGGGAAGAATCATTTAACCTTTGTTTTTACCTTGAAAACAGTATTGAAATTTAAGCTCAGAGTAGTATCTTGGTGATCATATTACAATAACATTATTTCCACCCAATCATTACTTAGCACTAAGAGTATCTGATGTGTTTAAGGTGATTGCGCGGAAGGAGTTGAGCTGAAGAAGTCGTGGAAACAAAATGTTTCTGAAGGTTTGTTGCACTTTGCATATGCTTTGCACATTCCGGTCAGGTATTCTTTGCCATGCGTATTCTACTGTTATTTTTATCGGACCTCTCCGTTTTTTCCTGCCATATTCGAGGATTAGGTAAACTGCGAAATTGGTTTTTGCAGTCGTTGATGATTGGGAATGCAGCTGTTACTTTATTTTTGTTGCTATAATTGTCGCAGCCACTGTCGCATCTTTGCTCAGGATATTTTCTCAGTGCCTTTACTGAATTTATTTCTGGCATTGTTATTATTGGTTTAGCTGATGACTTGGCAGAATCACGAGTTAAAGTGTTTTTCAAGGGCATAAGATGTTAACTCAGTGACCTTAACCAGAGAAGTCACATCCCTCTTCTTAATCTTTCATAACTTCAGAATAAATTAACTAAGAGACATGTAATCCTAAAGTTAAGTTTTCTTCCTCGAAGGTCGTTGACAAATCGAGCAAAATTTATTTACCATTGGAGAAAAAGCGCTAATTTTATAGCTGCACTTTTTTAGTTGGTGACTTAGCAAGATCACGGGTTCAAGAGTGATCGTAATATCTTATATTTTATATTTTATGATAGTTTAGTTCAGTGGCTGTTAACAGAGAAGTACTCCTCTCCTCTGAATCTTTCACCACTTCAGAATAAATAGATTTACAAGACGCGCCAAATTTTCTTCCTCGTCAATATGGTAGGCAAATTGAACAAAGTTTATTTTCCATAGGTGAAAAAGCGCTGAAGAATTTAGCAGCGGATAAAGTTGGCAACCGCAGCGGTCAATGGACTGTCGACGAAATTAAAAGCATAGTTACTGTTAAAAATTTATGTTCTTGCAGTGATCCTATATCGACAGCTTTTAAGGTAGAGTAATTTTGCTCCTACGTAAATTTGATTATGATTAAACAATAGTTTCATTTTGACAGGTTTCTACTTATGTTCCCCTGGGACGACGATATGGCAATGACCAATATAAACATCAAATTTGGCTTTTACCTGAGTCATGCAGAGAAAAGTTCTGCGAGGGAACCGGGTAACTTTCATTTCAAAATACGTTTTGGGCTCTTCCTATAAAAAACAAGTGATCACTCCAATACACTTTGAACTGAAACCTCAATAAACAGTCTCCTTCTTTTGAATTTCTTGTTCATCATTTCTCCTGAAAATATATGTTTTTATTATCCCTTTTTTGTGACAAGATCATGCTGAACTCAAAGTAATTACATTTTAATTATATAACAACACAGAACGCCCAAAGCAGAGTCTTTTTCTGTAAACTGTAAAAACAGGGTGCTTTGAAAATAGTGAGAAAGTTTTTAATACTTTATCCTCATGTTTATTTGATTGATTATAAATTTCTTGGTCTTCAGGTTAACAGTAACTTGCGGGTTTTGGCAAAATCGTACATAGAGAATACCGAGACCCTAAACAATCTTGCAGACCAGACAGAGGATTTTGCTGTGCAGCTCATCGATCAGGTTAATGGCAGTGAGCAGCTTGCATTGCAAGACGTACCGGGAAACGTTGATCGCTGTGCCTCGATGCTCAGTGGCATGACGGATAAGGCAATTGAATATTCTCAAAAGAAAGTACGTATCTTTTTGAAAAACAACACAAATATAGCTTGACAGAGGTGTCACTTTTCTTAAAGATGTTGCATTAAGAGTCCGATTGTGATTACCTACAGAAAACTGAAACTATGGTGAAATACAATCTTGAACAGCCCTTTCTCATACCAGACCGGAGTAATATTGGTAATGCATACTGATTTGGAACTTTGCTAGCTTTCATCAGCATGGCTATTTAGTACATAGCTCATATTATACAAGTTTTCTTATTGATTTCGTTTATCATCTTTTTTTTTTTTTTTTTAATTCTGACTCTTTTTACCAGTAACAGATTTGAATTATTTTATAGTTTGTTGCACATCCTTTATTGTACAAGAGACTACAAATGAGATGGAATCTTGGAATACCTAAGGTTTTAAAGCCTCGTGAAAAGTTTCGACCTTTTCTGTGCCTGCTGATACTGATAGACACGATCCTCACTCCATTTCTGCTTCCGATTATTGGATATGCTTTTTACCATGACCAAAAAGAGGTGCAAAATCTTTTAATATAGTTTGTTATGCTTGTTATTTGAGCTATATCGTTTGCTGTCTTTGACAACTGACTTTTGATCTTTCATGAAAACTTTTGTATTCTTATCATTTTGCAGAGGCGTGTGAGGTCACAAGAACAAAGAGGAAAATCGCGTACGGGTGTGAAAAGATCACGATTGAGTATCATAGGTATGTCAGAATACTAGAAAAATTAAAAAAAAAGTTTTTTTTAAATAATAAGAGTAAAAAAGCTGGTTGGTCGTTCGGTTTCCTAACTTACCCTCTTGCCAAGTTGATAGAGGGATGGATTGATGAAGTGATCGAGTCAAATATCAAATGATTGATTGATAGATTGAATGACTGGGTGAATAAATGAATGATCGACACATTTATCGATTCATCTCTCGATTTGTTTTCAACAGATTCTTACCTGAATTACCTGACTTCTCCCTTTGTCTTGTTTATAAAAGACAAGCTAACCCAAGTGGTATTTATAGCATTTCACTGCATAGTCTGCACTTCGGATTCTCAGATCGCAATAACATACGAAGAGTACATAATTTTCTTTTTCTTCTGTGGCATGATCCTGAGTGAATTCCAGCAGTACAAGCGGTCGCAACTGAAATATTTCAAGTAAGACATTTCGCTTATGATTGATTTGAAATTTTTGCAGCGTATATCTTCTTTGATAAAGAGGAATGGGCTTCAATTCTGTGACCACGAGTATACAGTAGCTCTTACGGATTTGGTGTTTTTGTTTATTCGGTTAAAAAAAGTGTTTTCAACATAAAACTTTTGGAGGTTAAGAACACCAGCCTGAAAGGAAGTCTAGTAGCTTGCGTTAGAAGATTACTGTGGATGATAGACAGATTAAGAGCCTAAGGAGATCAGAACCTTTTTTTTCCAAAATGCAATTTATGATCACCTACTGTGGGTAAAACGAGGAAATATTGACGCCTTTGAGGCCTTCGAATCCATTGCCCCCACCTTACACTCTCATACAGAGTTCACAAGGCGTGTCGCAACTCTTCACCAGACACTTCACGTTGGACTCTGGAGTGAAATGATGATTCAAACAGGTGAACATGGAAACCTCTTTTATTTTAACTTGCAGGGACATGTGGAACTACGTGGATGTCCTGACTCTCTTTATCTACATCCTGATTGTCTTGACGCGCATTGCGACGATTATCCGCGGAGGCGAAACTTATGATAATGACCTGTTAGAAACTGCCAACATCCTCTATGGCGTAAATACCATGTTATTGGTATTGCGCTTCTCCAGTATCCTGGAGGTTAACTCATTTGTTGGTCCATTGCAGTTGGCTTTATTTCGGATGATTCTTGACTTACTCACCATACTTATGCAGTTTGCTTTCTTGGTCGCCGCGTTTTCGTTGGCCATAACAAAGGTTTCCAATGCAGATCTCTTCAAATTGGGTTACGGCGCCAACGATACTAGTGGTGAAACCAACTTAGCACCGTGAGTTACGTTCCTTTTCCTTGTTGAATTGTTCTTTTGTTATTGGGACAAGTCCCTAACAGGTAACTAGTATCATTTAATTTATCCGATCAAAAGCTCACTTTTACAACACGGAAGAGTAATACAAACTTTGAATAAATTCAGATTACTAGCAAACTGAAACTGCCTTGACCTGACTGGTTACCAATCCATCCTCCAACTTGAATTTCTACCTTTTGTAAACTAGCTCCGTGTTAGAGTTGTTTCAAGAATAAAAAAAGTTCAGCAAGTTAAAAAAACGACAACAACAATGTGCATGTTAGCGGTATTATCGAAACAGATCCAGAATATTGTCATGCTCTAAAAAAAGTCCTTTGGAAATCTTCATAAAGAAGATGGCTTTGGTCATTAAATTGTTTCTAAAGGAAAAATTATCAGTGAAATTATCTTCAGAAATCATGTATGAGAGAATTCTTTCAGACAATGTAAAGCATTACTCCAGATGTGTACCAACATCAGCCAATGCCTTGGATCAGCCTTTCATGGTAGCACGAGTTCGGCTATCATATAATAAAGTCCTCGATAATAAATTCTCTTTATTTAAGAAATGTCATACATACCTTTCATCTCTGTTCCTCCTACACTGTCCACTCTATATAAGCTACAAATTTGGCTCTCATTTTGTTCCCATCCAGGTATTGCGACCAAGTAGGGGCATTAGAGTGGTACGTCATTCTATCTGCTTAACCCCTCAACCCATCAGATTGACTAGCATCTAATTTGTCCTTACAACATCACCCCTGAATCAAACTACAAGGTCATATGTTAAAGAAAATAATCAACAAGAAGAACTGAGGCTCATGATTGCTTAACGAATTTTCTCTGCTAGTATCACAGGAACTGTTTAGAGAACAGTGTGGAGAATACGCATACTGATTTCGGAGTGTAACTGGTTAATGAAGATTAGGTTCACATCTTTACATGTGTCTTGTACAGAGATTTCAGCTCAGCCTTTGACAAAAAGGAATAAAACACGCCAGGTTAATTTTTCATCAGTTGAGGGTACATGACTTGTAAGCTGCATTTTTGTTTGGCGAGTCCCTACTGATCGTTCTTTGGTAGAATCGTTTAGGTATATTATTCCTCAAACTAAGCTCGACTTAACCGAGAGTGAATCTTACTTGGTTATGGCCAACCCACATCGATGTTATAAATAAGTTGTTGTGAAATAACATTTATAAATATTTGCAAATTATTATTCGCAAAACATTCTCCTAAACGTTGAGAAACAAAATTGCTGCATGGAGTAGCCAGCGCATATTGTTAGGAAAATTTAGTACTCGATAACATGCAAAGTAAGAGTATAATTTTATACTTTTATACTTTATATTTTTTTTTAGAATCGTTTAGGTATATTATTCCTCAAACTAAGCTCGACTTAACCGAGAGTGAATCTTACTTGGTTATGGCCAACCCACATCGATGTTATAAATAAGTTGTTGTGAAATAGCATTTACAAATATTTGCAAATTATGATTCGCTAAACATTCTCCTAAACGTCGAGAAACAAAATTGCTGCATGGAGTAGCCAGCGCATATTGTTAGGAAAATTTAGTACTCGATAACATGCAAAGTAAGAGTATAATTTTCTGTATCGTTGGACTGAAATTTGTTAGCCGTAATGTCCTTTAGCCAATATCGATCATAACAGAAGAATAATTTCGATTTTTCAGCCTGTACAAGACATCTGGACACCTTATATGGTCAGTGTTTGGTCTAACTGAATTGAATAAGCTGAATACCACTGATCGTCTCGCCTTCTTAGTCACCAGAGGTCTATACTTGGTTTTCCTTATTTTGACCGTTATCATGCTGATCAACATGCTTGTGGCCTTACTTTCCAAGACTTATGACAATATTACGGTGAGATGAGTAACTTAGCAACTCTTGAGATAAGCATGCGCTGTAAGGTACAAAGCTCCCTTTTTGAATAATCAGGAAAAGAAGAAAACCAAAAACAAATCACGGAATATTTTGAAATGAGTATCGAGGTTAAATTTTTGCTGTCAGTCTAGGATCCTTTCTAGACTTGCTTTACTTCTAGTGCGGATAGGGTCAAATGCATCATGTTTTGTGATAGCTGTTACATAGGCAATACCTTTGTCATCAAGCAAGCATTAAAAATATGATAAGTACCATTTCCCCATTAGTGTTTGTCTATTTTTTGTTTCTCTTCCACGTGGGTAAGCTGGGTGAATTTACGTGACTATTTACTCTCGTAACCTGTGGTACACTGCTGCTGATGGATGCATTCACACTCAGTTAGCCGTCCATAAACTTGGTTATTGATGACACGCGCTTGGATGGCTTAAGATTTCGATCCTATCTCGGAGGGGTTCTTTGGTACACCATATATGGCCGATCTTTGATTGTTCGTTTGTTGGTTTTTTTTTGCGTGTGTGTTAAACGAGATGTTGTTTGTTTGTGTGTGTTTTTTTGCTTGTGTGTTAAACGAAAAGGTCGCATTGACTTCATGCTTATAAACGCTTACATCCAGCTAGTGTTGCACCTTTTTAATTCAGAAATCATCAACGAAAAATAAGACGTCTGTTGTCTTTCTTGCCTGTAGAACAATGCGGAAGTTGAGTGGAAATTTTCACGCGCTGTTGTGGAAAACCAGTACAGGAATCTTCACTCTATTGTGGTACCGTTCAACCTGCTATCTGTTCCAGTAGCACTCCTTTACATTCGTTTGCATGGTAATCCTCGTGAAGAGGTAGGTGAAATTCTTCTAACCTAGGAAGCTAAGTCAACATCGAGATATTTTGTCTTTTTATCAGTTCGTTTTTAACTTTCAAGTCAGAAACCAGATATGTTTCACTATGACAGGATGCAAAAGACCGTCGAAAACAATACAAGAATTTTTATCGCGAGCGTCTGTTTCCACTGCTTACTAAAAGGTATCTCGAAAAATATGGTGGAGCGTTTCCATTGTCAGGTAGGTTGTGTAACTCTTGCGGTTTTTTTCAAAATGTTAGGTTAGCGGTTATATGAGAACTCAAAGGTCACAATTATTAGTTCGGTCTTTTCCGATGTGAGTAGCGATAAAATCACGTGTACCTCCTCAGGTGGGACAAAGAGCACTGCTAACACACCCGTTGAAATGACTATACACACGACAGCACGTATGTATCAGGCCACAATCGGCTGAATGGGCTCAAACCCATGGATAACAATGCGATCAACAAAGCTATCATTGGGAGCCCATTGTTATTCGAGTTTATTTTATGCCCTTAATTAGGCCACTGTATGATAGTAATTCTATTTAAAATGTGGAACTAAAGTATCTATCAAGCAAAGAAACATCGTCCCATAAAGAACACAACTTAAGCACTTTTGAAAATGAAGCCTAAAATTCGGGTTAAATGCTCTGTTTTCTTTTTGTCAAAAATAGATTTTAGTATTGCTTTAGTTGATTTTCAGGCTTTATTGTTATTATTGCTTTTGTCAGTTGTGTAAACTGCGATAAATAGTCTTTTTTTACATCATTTTTTATGCTTTAAAGTTACATTTGTTATGTTTTAGTTGATGACAAGATCGACCTGATAATGCAGAATTTGAAAATTTCGCCCTTAAATGTAAGTATTACACCTCCACTGATTCGGCGTTAATTGTCAGTTATACCATGCATCTGCTCTTGCAAAAAAACTTGGTCCACGAAACTGGCGGGTGGTTGAATGTCTCAATCGCAGGACTAGATAGGTTTCCTTTGACCCTTTGACGGTCGGTGTTTGGGTGTGAAAAAAAAATTATCAAAAATTGGTCAAAACTCATGAGATACCTTTGTGTAACATGTTTAACATGTTTTGAAATTTACTCGCTTAAGTCAACCAAAGCTTTGAAATACTCAATAAATGAATGGTTCGAACTCACTTAGCTGAAATATTTCAGTTTCTGCCAGTTTAATTGTTTGTTCTATGATCGGACAACATGGTCCTTTAGATCCAGTAATTATTATATGAAATACAGAACAGGACTTGTAAGGCCCTCATTTGAATTACTACGTGTATGGGTCTGAGTATCATTATGCAAGAGATGAAAAAACAGTTTATAATATCTCCTGCACTATGATATGACGTCTTCATGAGGGTATAACCTGCGATGTGTAGGATTCGGCAGCTACTACCGAATAAAGCTAGAATAGATACAAACAAGCATGGTTTCCATTTTAATTTGTTGCTTAATTTTAGGAGGAAAACAATGCCAGAAGCGTTGGGGAAGGTGATTTGGATAATTTTCCCGTACCAGAGAACAGCCAGATGCCGACTTCATCAACCAAATTTACCAAATTCACAGCACCAATCAACGATGTATAGCTCGCCTAGCAATCTAGTTCTATATCACGTCTAAAACTCTCTAACTTTCAGTTGTTTCGATTTTTATTTGGCTCCTAAAGAAATATTTTATCTTAGTTTGCTCTTCAGCTCTAGCTCATATAATTCTAAACGTAATCATGTAGTATATGTTGCCATGAACTTGATCAGGTCTCTTTCACTTAGTCTGTTTTCCAGCGAACCACAATGCGGACTTCGTCTGCTAGCTTTCAAAACGCCGTTTATTGAAAGTAGAAAGGCTAATCTCCCTTACAGTTATCTGTATCCCTTTCCCCCCTCTTGAAACTTAAAACTTATTAAAAAAATTTAAGTATTCATGTTTCGGGACGATGGGGAAGGGGAAGAAGAGGGAGAAGAGGGAGGCGATCAAAGTGTGTCATGGACTGCAAAAATACGTAAAAGAAAAGTGGAAAATACTTGGAAATTCGAGGGTTAAAATGATTATGAGCTAGATATAAATAAAAAGTTCATCAATGTTATGAAAAACTGTTTTTTAATTTTGAAATTAGAGCCATCGATGCTGGGAACATAAATCCGACGCTTGTAAGACCCAGGCTATAATTAAATACAAACTAAATATCGATAAGCACCTCTAACTTTAGAACAGAGAGTTTCGGAAATATCAAGTCATTAATCATGTGAGCCTTATCTTGATTTTCTCGTTAAACTACGTGTATAATGATGTATAGTAGAAAGGACGCATTCATTCAGAGGAGATAAACGTGTGATCCACCACTCGATACAATTTGCGTGATCTATACCCTTCCGGCCAATATAGGCGTCCACAAGAGACGGGCTAACGGCCTATATCATCAAGGCTTCTGTTTCTTTAGGCATGAAACGAATAAGAGTTCTTCGACCGGCCCTGAATCAAATGGGGCGCTAATCCGTGACCGCAGGTGACTATTACGTTAGCGTTTCACCCTCCACTCCGCTATTGCAGATATATCTCAGGAATACCATGTTTTGCCCATAAATTATCATCCTCTGAATGAAAACTTCCGCGTCAACTTGTGAATAAACTGATTAACAGACAGCAAACACGTGGATATTAAAAATTATTGAGAGCGACAAATGAAATTATTTATAGTGGAATGTGGTTCCTGATGTAGCAAATTACCTGCTGCAGCACAGTTAATTAGGTAATCTTCAATTAATGTTCAAATTACCATCTATATTAGGAAATACGTATTCTAGTTTAGTGTCTACTTTTCTTCAGTAGTTCATAGTACCTTGATATTAGATTGAGCTTTGTTCTTAAGTTAATCTTTCAAAAGTTATACACTATAAAAAACTGTAACAAAACTAGGGTTAAATAAGAAAAGAGGGTGGCAAAGGTTTTAAACGCAACGCATGATTACACCAAAAATTGATAGGCGACGCGGGAATTTTTACAGCAAAGCAATGTAAGGTGAGATTTGAATTTTCCTCTTCTAGATTCTTAGAGCATGAAACATTGTTTAAATTACACGCGACGCATGGATTTTACCAACATCCATGCGTGAAACGGCACCTGGTAACCCCCCCCCCCCTCCCTTCGATCCCCTTCGCTACCCTCAACAAAGAGAGATGACATCTACTCGATCAATTTAGAAACCCGAAACTTAAAGGCGCAAAAAATCACAAGACTTGCACATAGGCCAAGAATAGTCAGAAACATAACAAAAAAATGAATAAATGAAGAATAAAGAAATAACGAAAGAAAACGAAATATTACTTTATTCATCATTCCAAACAATTATAAATGTGCTAGTAAGATAGTTCCTGTTACCGGCCTATGTTCCTCGGTCTGAGCGGGCACATATGAAGTATTTTCCTCATAAGCAATCCGGGTGCTTTCACTGATGGTAGAACTTGTGACCTTCCGATCGTCAGCTCAAATGCTTTCGATGGAACTTTATCGAATGCCGTCCGCTGTTGCCAACATTTCGGGCTGCTTTACAACCCCGAGAGTGTTCATGCTGGCATGCGTTCTTAAAAGAAGACTATGAAGGAAATTTTGAAATGTGAAACGACTCAAAAGTGGAAGCCTTTACAATTTTTAAACATAGCAGACCAAATTGTGTGATTTGCCTGGGTTTTTACGCCGAAAAAAATTCAGAGAAAAGGAAAACAAAAGTATTGTCATGTGAAGAGCACAACCAGTTCTGAACAATAGATTGAAATCCTTCCGGGAGAAGGAAAACAACATGTTTATTTATAGATAATGATTTCATTATTGATTGGTTAAAAGAAGGTCTAAGGATGTTTAGGTTAGCCGTGCTGTCAATAAGATTTTGTGATCTCGTCTCAGTCTCTAGGCTGCTGTCACTAATTACACAAATTATCTGGAAAACACATTCGGGTGACACGGTATTAATTAGTTTGTTTTCTTCTTTCATCCTCTCCAAAACAGATGTCCTTGAGTCTCTTCATAAACGTACAGTGTATCAAATCTCTCGTATTCTCAGTGAACCGCGGAACAAAGGGCATTTTGGATACCGCGCATCACTCTTTGTAAAAAGTAACGAGTGTAAGTCGCACCATGGGCTCCTTTCAAAGACGCTTTAGACTATTCAGGTAAGTTTACCAGTCGTCTTAAAAGTGCGAAAACTGTAAAAGTGATCACTATAACTTTTACTATAATGTTTGTTTTGTTTTTTTGATTTTTTAATTGGCAAAATATAATGTGATAATGCCGTGCTGTGGATGTTCCATGGGTTACGGGTGGACCCTGAAACCTGGAGGCTGTGCATCACATGCACTGCAGGCGGCTCTTCACTGTTTAGAAAAATGATAAGTGAAAGGTATCGTAACCAAATGAGGATTCAGACACTTGAACTGTGGAAAGTAATTTCTTAAGAGCGAGACTAAGACTTAGCCGGGATTAAAAATTTGATAAAATTAAGCAAAAAATAATAAAATGGAAGGAAATGAAATGCCTTCTAAGAATAATCTCATAGCTATAAACTCTGATGAAATGACCAAGGAAGCCTTACATAATAAATACCGTGATGAAAGAATTGTGGTGTAAGTGTGTAGTGTGTACTGAAACTTCTTTTCGGTCGGGTGGAAAAGGAAGAAAATATAATATTTCTCTATTTCTTTGCTTGGATTAAGTTTAAGGAAAATCGACAAAAACGAAGGAACGATTTAAATTTTCTTATTAATAATAATGAGCTTGGCGCAATGATGTGTTGCGTGACTTTCCTTATAAAGTCGCTCGCCGTCTAAACACGAAATTAATAAGTTATTGTTTCGTAAAGTTGTTGAGGATCGTACAACCAACGTTGACAAAGTCGCACAATAAAGATAAATAAATAAAATAAAAATGGTTTAGCACAGAGACTGTGAATAAGGTTGCATTAAAACAATTGTAAAGGTATCTACTCAGCCTGTCACGTATTTGAGCGTGGTTGATTCAAAACAAAAAAAGCATTTTGTCATTTAAGACCAGTATCAGTTTTCTGACTGATTTTAGAATTCACGATCTGGGCACATGCTCATGTAAAATGTAACTGTTGTAGACCTTATGAGGTATTTCTTGGAGCAACTCCTGATGTACTAGGTAGCCTGCGTGACGAGTGCGTTTCACGTGCTTGTCACGCGTGTGACATGCTCAGTAGAGAATTTGCAAGCCAAGCTTTCAAAGGCAAGCGAGCTCTGTGCATGGGATACGAACAACGTGATTTAGGGAAGTACAAGAGCAGATCGAAACGCGCTGTTCTCTGAACAGTGCGGAGTTATTCACGAGGAGAAACTTAGTGAGACTCTTAAATTTACAGGGAATCGAGCGAAGAGGACACAGAAAGCCGCGGCTTGAACGCTATAAGGTTTGTAATTTTAAATTTGTTGACAAAAACATGCATCCGATTGATATCGGTTTTGTACAATCAGCTAATCATTTGTTTACTTTCTCCTCCAGCTCCACAATGTCTGTCTCTGATAACGATTCAGATGTCAGCGAAGACGGAATTTCGATGAAGATCGACTCGAAAGGGAGCAAAGATTGCAACGTAAGTAATAAAATGAGACACACATCAGTAGCTAAATGTTACATGAGGTCTCAGTGTTTTCAATATTAAACATTCATTTAAGTACAGAAACCCATCGCTTGTCCTTTAATAGAGATATTTTAAGGCATAGTCAATTACTTCTGTTAATCTTACTTCATCGGGAATTATGATTGACTGAAAAGCACACTTCATATCCCAAGACTAACTTCCAATCATATCGTACTTCAATTTCACGAGGTAAACCATTCAAATATCGTTATAATGTGGTAGGCTAAGTTCTCCAGTCAACGTTTTATGTACCCATTACGTAAGTGAGTTTTCTTTGGCTAAGTGTCAAAGGGACGAGTTTACTTGTGTGAAATAAAATCCAGCAAACCTGTTGAGCCTTTGTCTAGACAGTTAATTTTGGGGGTGTGTTGGAGGTGTGGTATTGTGCAATAATGTTAATTGTGTACAAAGTACGGCTGGAACTTTTTTCAATTTTTTCTGATTACTTTAATTTTTGCTTAATACCATATTTCTAATTTATATAAAACTTGAAATAATATATTGTTTACATGCTATTCCCTGTTATTTGTATTTGGATTAATTTTTCCAGGAGATTTTCTCAATTGTTGTGTTTGAAATAGCACTAAGTAAATTGCTCTAAAGAAATGAGGCATTCTCATATTGAAGTCTTATAAAAAAATTTCTCAATGGCATATAATGTTCAAAGTTTATGCTTTAAGTGATAATTCTTTATTTTATTTATTGTACTTGTATTTATTTACCTAATTGTGTGCATATCTGAGTCGGTAGTATTAATATTAAGCCCAGAGAAATAAACCAACTCCTAAAAGAAGTGGATAAAACACACTTGAAAACCAAACAAAAATTTAGAAAGAATGTTGTAGATTATGTTACATAGTAGTGGCTAATATTATAGTATAGTGACTATCAGTAATAGAGTCTGGCTCTAATTTTGTCTCAACAGACATTTGCAACACCTGCGGAATTTGTCAAGCGTTGTGGTGGCTCAAGAGTTATAGAAAAGGTCCTGATAGCCAATAACGGTATTGCAGCTGTGAAATGTATGAGGTCTTGTAGACGCTGGGCTTATGAACTGTTTGGTAATGAGAAAGCTATACGTTTTGTTGCAATGGTCACCCCAGAAGATCTACGGGTGAGCAGCTTTGAAAATTCTACTGTTCTTAAATCTTTATATTCTTGATGATATGGTTTTTAAGTGAACTAGTAATCTGCCGAGTTTCTCACAAAAATATCACAGTATATCTCCCATTTATTTCCACCAGATATAAAATTGTGTTCAGAATGTTATAGTACCTACTCAATTTGCTATAAAAAAAAGATGACCATGCATTTAGATTAGTTGGATGTTCATGTTTTAAAGTTGATCTGAATGGTTGAAGTTAATCTTTTTTATTCATGGGGACATATAACTCATTATTAAGAAAATCAAGAATTTACTTTGAAGTACAAATGACTTTCAGGCTAATGCAGAGTACATCAAGATGGCTGATCAGTATGTACCAGTACCTGGTGGAACAAACAATCACAACTATGCTAATGTTGAATTGATTCTGGATATTGCAAAGAGAATTCCTGTGCAGGTTTGTTCTTTTCACCTGAAGCTGCTATGTACCTGTACCTAAAATTTTAGTATGCCTTAGGCAATGCCATATTTTACTATACTATGCCTGTTGGACAAAGAATATGATCAATTGTGGAGTCAAAATATTTGCCAGTTATGGTTTCTTTCCCACTCACTGCAATTTAAATAAATAATGTTACTGATTTTGATGTTCCTTAACAAAAGATTCAAAGTTTGCATTACTTGTTGAACATCTCTAGAGTCAATATCTCACCCACTGATTTGATCTGTTTCTTTAACAAAAGATTCAAAATCTGCATTATTTGTTGAAAATCTCCAGTATCAACATCTCACCCACTGAGATTATCTGTTGATTCAAACTTCAGAGTCAAATTGTTTTTCAATCAACAAGGATGAAAGTAATATAATCTTTGTTTCCTTGTGGTAAACATAATTATAGCACTGAAAAGTGACTACTGTGAAGCACTTGAGCCTAGTTTTAATGAAAGACAAACAAATTCCTGAAAGATAAACCAGAAGCAGCAGGAAATGCCATTGCCCCCACCTCCAAAATGAGACTGCAAAGTTTTGTTAATTTTCCAGGCAGTTTGGGCTGGATGGGGTCATGCCTCTGAAAATCCAAAACTACCCGACCTTCTTTCAAAGCATGGAATCACTTTTATTGGTAAGTATACTTTTCTTTGCCTATACATATGGAAGCAGTCTTGTATCAGCAAATGTGTGTTGTCATGCCCTGGTGTAAATTGACAGTGCACTAACAGGATTTTAGATAAGAGTCAGCAGCCAGCAAAGTTTTGCCAGCTACTTTCATTGCTTCAAAAGCCCATATAGAGATGATGTTTATCAGGTCTAAACTTGGGCTCAATAAAAATATAAATTGACACTGCCTATCTTTTCTGAAAGCATAAAAAGACTTCTGACTCAAGGTTAGTTTAAAAATGCTCTGATGGGGACTGTCTTTTTGACAAATCTTGCTGTGGTGGCAGGAAAGTGTGAACAATATGACGTTTTGTCTGCCATATTGGATTTTGATACCCACAACTGTTTACCTTTAAAAAAGCTCCGGCTACTCAAAACCTTAAAGAAAACCCTGACTAATCGGTATGCATTATTCATGAAGGATTGCCTTTTTCTGTGGTAAATGAAGTGAACCTCTGATAAATTCCTTATTCAGGCCCTCCAGCTTCAGCCATGTGGGCTCTTGGTGACAAAATTGCATCAACCATAGTTGCTCAGACAGTTGGTGTACCTACTCTACCTTGGAGCGGAACAGGTGGTTAATTGTTTGACTGCTCTAACTGTGTCTCTCGACTGAAATTTCTCTTGATAATTCTTGGAATATATGGTGATATTCCTCAATTTTCAAACTTTGTCTGATTTGATGCAAGTCTTAAGTGAATACTTGGAGCAGTGTTAGGTAGTGTTTTCTTGTTAACTTAAGAAAAGAAAAAATCACCCGTTCAAGAGAACACCGTATTTAGGTTTATGATAAATGTATCATTACATACATTTATAGAAAATTTACACAGAATGATAACGTTTGGCCTTGGATACCATATCACTTTTTAAACACTCAGATTTTCTCAAGCCTTCCTTTGACTGGAAAATTGTTTTTTTTCTACAGTCACTGTCCAGAAAAATGTCTAGGCATGCTCTCATCCCAAATAAAGAATACTTCTCACGTCATTTTATGTTGAGTTGTTTTTCATTTACTAAATGTACTCTGTTTTAGGTCTTAAACTTGACAAGTCATCTAAAGACTTTGTTGATGGAAAAGTTGTGGGAGTCTCACATGACTTGTACATGAAAGGCTGTGTGCAGGATGTCAGTCAGGGAATCAAATATGCTAGAGATATTGGTTACCCTGTGATGATCAAAGCCTCAGAAGGTGGGGGTGGTAAAGGAATCCGCAAAGCCTCAAGTGACGATGAGTTTACAAACTTCTTTAGACAGGTACAGTGTATGTGTTCACTATGCCCTTTAATAGAGAAGCTTATGTTATTTTCCAATGGCAGTTTTGAAATATAATTTTATAAAACCCTGATTGATCAAACCACAATGAAATAACTATTTGTACTTGTTTTGAAACCTGAAAAAGCATCATACATAATTATAACAATAATGTTAAATGGTATTTACTTGCATCATGGATGAATTTAGGTTATGTGTGTTATTATAATTACAGGATCAATTAAATTATGAAAAATGATAATACTTTTCTCTAATTTTTTTCCCAGGTTCAAACTGAAGTACCTGGTTCTCCTGTGTTTGTTATGAAGCTTGCAAAAAAGTAAGTATTAGTATTAAATAATTAATACATCCTATATGAATGAAAGTACCAGTTATATGACTTACTTAGGATGAACTATTTTTCTTGTACTGTGATAAAAATCTTTGTAAAATACTATTTTAGTGCCAGGCACTTAGAGGTCCAGCTATTGGCTGATGAGCATGGCAATGCAATGTCCATTTTTGGACGAGATTGTTCAGTGCAACGAAGACATCAAAAGATAATAGAAGAAGCGCCTGCAGCTATTGCTAAACCTGATGTTTTCAGAAAGATGGAAGAGGTATTATTGAAAGACTTGATTTGTGTACCAATAAGATTGAAACAAGCTTAACATTATAAAGAGATAACTAAAAGGCAGTGTTTTAATGCAACTACAAGCTGTGAATGTTTCTAATTTACTGTGCATTAAATTATTATACCAGCTGGCCTGAATTAAAAGAAAATCTACTTTAAAAAGTTTTCATAGGCTTTTTCCTAAATTTGACTGGATTGGTAGTCATATGTCAGGCATATCATTAGTTTTCTTTAAAAACCTAAAATACATTGCTACTGGGGTAAGGGCTGGTACAGTCCATTTTCACAAAACTGAATCTGTAGGTATTTTTCTGCTAAATTGTAGTTTTAAGTAAAGATTACTAGTGAGTGGTACTCATTATTTAGGTTTAAATGAGCCCTGATTTTCTATGTTATCAGGATGCTGTTAAGCTTGGTCGTCTTGTGGGTTATGTCAGTGCTGGAACAGTCGAATATCTCTACCATCCTGAGGATCACACTTTTCATTTTCTGGAACTGAACCCTCGGTTACAGGTACATGTAGTTCAAAGCCAAGACTAATCGCATATTGACTGGCATCCTTATGATATAATTTGCCCACCTCTGCAAAACTGAAATCAGAGGATTCATTTGAAATATGGTTCTGTATCATAACCAAATGATGGGGTATTTCATTATATTTTCACTATTGTCTTTTTTTTTCAGGTTGAACATCCCTGCACTGAAATGGTTTCTGACATAAACCTTCCCGCAGCCCAGCTTCAGGTACACCCAACAACTATTAGTCCAAGTTATGTAATTTTCCTCACTGAGCAAGTTTGATTTTTGGGTTGAGGCTGTGCAATTTTTCAGCAGACCAGTAAACCAGGCATATGTTTGGCTTGACGATAAAAATTTTCACTTTTAATACAGTATAATCAAAAACAATATTAAATGAAGAAGAAAAGAAAAGAAACAAATAATTTAAAGACAAAAAAACAACAATGATACAGCCCCCACAAAATGGGCTGCAATGGAATTTCAGGGGTGTTTACATCACTTACATGTACATGTATATAAGTTTGTCAGTGGTAAGGGGCAGATAGGAATGTCTATCTTTAGTTAATGATCATACAAAATGTGAATCCTGCAAAACAAATGGCATCATAATAACTTGTTGAGGAGGGTAAAGTAGAAATAATTTCTGCACTAGTTCTCCATGTACTTTTTGTTCTGTCTTGCAGGTGGCTATGGGGATTCCTCTGTATAACATTAAGGATGTCAGGACAATGTACGGTTTGGATCCCTTTGGAAAGGAGCCTATAGACTTTGACAAGTAAGCTGTTCGAATGTTTGAATTCTGTTCAAATAATTATCATCATAATGATAAAATAAGTGGCAATTGATTTTCACTGGGGGAGCTTTTTTGACATTGCTGATCCCTGCAGCATCAAGGATTCTGGTCACATTGACAACTTGCATTGTGTTTTATGGCTTCAGCTTGCCAATAAGTTTTTTTTTTTAGATCATGGTGGAGCATCACACTGCAAAATCTAAGATTCTTTGGTTTGATCACTACACACAGATGTTTTTCCTTGATTAACTTTTTGTTCAGTATTGACAAATATAATTATGTAAACTATATATTAGACTATATACAACACACTGGAAAATGGATTTGACTCATTAATTAAATAAAATTATTTGAAATCCTTTTCCAGGCCGCAGAACCCTCCTAAACCAAGGGGACATGTTATTGCAACTCGAATTACCTCTGAGAATCCAGATGAGGTAACTTAGTAATATTGATTTCTATAAGTAATCCAAATAATACACACTGACAATTGTTTTTTGTAACACAGCCAATTTCCTCAAAGTAAGTGGAAGTAACATGCCAGATGTTTAAGAATTGCAGCTCTCTATAGCCTAGTCTCAACATTTATTATTATGTCCTAATAGAATTATGATTTGACAATAAGGTTTATATTAACTTGAATGGAGCTTTAAAATAATCCCTCTGGTTGGCTAAAAACTAAATTATGCAGGGATACATGAAATGAAAAACAGTTCAATTGTTGTGGGTCTTAGTATATTTTTGTAACAAATGCTGATGTCGAACTTTCTATCAGTAAGGTATTCTGACCATTTCCTTAATGTTTGCAGGGATTTAAACCAAGTAGTGGTACAGTAACAGAGTTGACATTTCGCAGTATGAAAAATGTTTGGGGGTACTTCAGTGTAGGAGCTGATGGTGGCCTGCATGAATTTGCAGACTCTCAGTTTGGGCATTGCTTTGCTTGGGGAGAGGACAGAGATGCAGCAAGGAGGTGAGGAAGTTCATGTCATTGTTGCGAATTAAAGAAGACATTTAATAATAAATATATAAAAAACCTCTTTAAATAGAAGCTTTCCGAATATGTCTGTTCATGTGTAACTGTCTATTGGAAAAATGCTATGGAGAATACAGTCTGTAATGGCCCATATGGCAAAAATCGGCAAAACTCCAGCATCAGTCCTACGCAGGTTGTTTGTGATATCATTATCTCGTCTCATTTGTGTTCCAAAGGATTTGAAACTTCAGCTATACCTTTATTCCCCATTTTTTTCCTAATTGTTTAAGTTTTTAATGATCATCTGTGTATTTGTTCTGTTTTGTTTATTTTGATTGTGTTGGTTTTTAACAACTGCTGGAACAATCTGGACAATTCAGCCAACCATGTAGCAACTGGACATAATTTTCCTAAAATTAATACTCAGTAATCATTATTAGTCATTAGGCAATTAAAATAATAAGTTAAATAATTGTTATTTTTCAGAAATATGGTGTTGGCCTTAAAGGAAATCTCTATTCGTGGTGATTTCCGTACCACTGTTGAATACCTGATCCAGTTGCTGGAACATGAATATTTTTCAACAAACATAATAGACACTGGCTGGTTGGACTATTTAATTGCCAAGCAGGTTCAGGTTAGTAATCACCTGTAACACTACTCATTTAAAAATTTGTTCCTCTTTCACTTTTAGTTCATCTATCAGCTCATCCTCAGTTGTATTTTCAGAAATATTTAATTTAATGTTTAATTGTTTAAGTAGTATGTGGGTCCTGGGTAATGCAGCAACATTCACTTCAGCTAGCCCCAGGCAGACTACTACTCCCCCAGTGGCAAATCCTGCGATCAAACCCCCATTTCTGGCCTGCATGTGAGTGACCATGGTTTCAGGTGGGAGAGAAGGGCTTTTGGCTAGGAGGCAACCACGACCCTGAACTCTCAATGGTCGTAAGGCAGCCCTCACGACAACGAGATCTAAAAAGAAAAGGTGGTAGTGGGGCTTAGAGGAGGGTGAATAATCTAGTAGGCACCCCTCAAAACCGGTTTTGTAGATGGGGCCAAAATCCTAAGGAAGCACTTGAAAGCAACCGGGCTACAAAAACCGGTCAAGAACGCTCAAACACAACTGCTAATGAACCGCTCAAGTACGCTTAAAAGCAACCGCAACGAAAGTGCTCAGGAAAGTTTTGATCATGTATACAAAAGCAAGCAAGAACGCTTAAAGACGCGAATTAAATGCTTAGAAACGCTTAAAGACAACCGGCACGAAAACGCTTGAACGCCACAGGAAAACCTTCATAAGACCGCTCTGGAAATAGCCTAAACAACCACAAAATTGCTCAGGAGAGCTTGAAAACCTTTCTAAAACGCTTTAAAACGCTTAATTGAGATAATTGACACCAAACCGTTCCGAGAACGTCCGAAAACAGCCTCCGTAAAAATGTAAGTGTAAGCTTGAAAACAATGGTTACAAAACCTGCTCTGGAACTCCAGAAATCCTCTCAGGAACAATTGAAAACAACTGCTTCAAAAGCTACCCAAGAGTAAATGAAACAACCGCTATAAAACCGTTCAGGAATACTGATAAACAGCGACTTGTTGGAGAATAGAACTGCAACAAGGTGTTGGTCTTATCTGACATGCGCGAATAGGTCAAGTTTGGCCTGGCGCGCGCTCATTTTCCCGCGCAAAATTTAAATGGAATAGAAACAAACATACATTATAACATAGCATGAAGAGCTAACGCTCGAAACGCCAGCTTTTTTACCCTTTACGGTGGCTAATTTACGTTTTCAACCCAGTTGTTAACAATAAATTACCTGATCTACTCTCCCACCGACGCAGCACCACAGTTTCTTTAGAAACTTACCCCTTTATACATTATAACATAGCTAGTAAATTTGTGTAATCAAATTCAATTGCGCAAGCGTGCTTCATATTCCTATTGTGCACGCTCATGACGTCAGCAAACAAATCCCTCGAGGAAAAAAAATTTTCCATCAGGTTGAAAATGTTATAAAACAATTGGTTCATACGTCAGCGTGCGTTCATAGAGATATGAAGCAATTGGGAAGTTTGGAGGGCACGAAAGATGCCCAATTGTTAAGCGTCACGAAAAGTTTTCGGGGAAGAAAATGGAACGTTTTGAAAGGAAACGAAAGTGACGAAAGGAAAAATTGAGACTCTTTCAGATTATGAATGTTCTGCTGATAAGCAATTTTGTTTTGGGCTTTATTAAGGAATTTGAAGGATTGAACGGCTTTAAGGCAATTTTTTTGTTTCCTTCTTAACAGACCGAACGTCCTGATGTAATCCTGAGTGTTATCTGTGGAGCCGTTCAGGTGGCAGAAGCAGGTATAAGCAAGAGATATGTGAACTTCAAGTCTGCTTTGGAAAGGTAAAGCACTCTTATAATGATTGAGATACCTTGCTAGTTTACGTCTGTTGGAAGTGACCGGCTCTTATTATTGAGACGTAACGATAAAATTCATTAAGCGAGGATAGTAAATTAGGCCTTTTCTTTGTTTCTTTACCTCAGGGGACAGATTCTTACAACTGATTCTTTGGTAAACACCGAAGATGTTGAACTGATTAATGACGGAATTAAGTACTGCCTAAAAGTGAGTGAAATTTTGAACTAAAATTGTTTTTTACGTAATCGTTTCTGATAATTGCCTGTAGCTTTGTTTTTTCCCTTCATTTTTTAAAAACTTCCAAGGTATGGAAATCTGGTGCAAACACATTTTTCTTGGTCATGAACAACTCCTGGACAGAAGTGGAAGCTCACAGGTATGTATTGTTTAGCTAGCTAACATCGATGTTTTGAAATCGGAAATCTCTGGCTTTTTATGCTAACACTGTTCATAAGTTTTGAAACCAATTTCACTGCCATGTTGTCGTTTTTGTGAGAAAAGCGTTTTATCTGAATTTGCTGGCTGTGCTCAACAGCAAATTTGTAGCTTATTCAATAAAAGCCTCAGCCTCTGTACTGTTTCATTTTATATTGTACCAAATTGTTATTATTATCCTTATATTGTTATTATTGGAATTATTATCAATAGTCTATAGAGGCTTATTCTATAAATTATCGGTGCTCTTACAGGAATGCATAAAACTAACAAGGGCATTTGATCTTTGTAAAATAAATTCCTTTTTTTTAATTTTTACGACATTGACCAATTATTCTTCGATGTGGAGGTAACTATCCACCACTTTCACCAACACCGAGTTTAATGATTGTTTCAGTATACCACAGAGAAACCGACAAAAAAATTAGTTAATTTCTGTCAATATTCCGAAGAATGGTTGGAAATTAAATTATCGACGGGCGATTTTGTATCTTCGGCTTCAGAGGTGAACAGTATTCGCTAATCACTTCCAATCTAGCCAATCGGCGCGAGCGAAAAGCACTATTTACTTATAGAGTATATACTGAAATGGCTTAATATCAACATACTTTGTTATTATATTGATTTTGTTTTTTCAGTCATATGAAAACTCTGGTTTTGTTCTTTGAACTCTTAACCTTTGAATTTATCTTTGTTTTGCAGGATGAGTGATGGTGGATTACTTTTGTCCTGGAATGACAGTAGTCACACCACTTACATGAAGGAAGAAGTTGACAGGTTGGTTGAAAATTAAATCTTGACTGATAAGTGAAAGCTAAAAATTCCACACGACTGTGTGCGTGATTATCTTCGTAATTTATGTCCATTTAAAGATGAATTTTTTTCTCCTCGCTTTCGAGAGGAAATTCTTTTACTTGTAATGCTTTAAGAGGTGTCTACTTTATTGATGCTCTTTCCCTTTGTTGCAACAGCTATCGATTGACAATAAGTGGAAAAACTTGCATCTTCCAGAAAGAGAACGATCCAACAGTTCTGAGGTAATAGCATCTTTCAATTTTGACCTTATTCTCGTTTCTACTATTTATACTGTGTCTAAATTATGTGTAATGAATGATTAATATTTTGAGTGAACTATTGTTGGAAAATGAATTATTGGAATCGTGTTCAACTACGATGAATAAAAATGAATAAAGAAAGTAAACGTGTGCAAGTTTCTCAGTTTCTACTTACCTATCCTTTTTCAGACTCAAGCCCTCATCTTTAAACGCTTGGTATATGTAAACTTACAAAATTAGAATATACAACAGAATTTATTTTGGTCTTCACGAGGTGTATACAGCAACGGTTATCGTGTATTGTGAAGTATACCCAATGTTACATTCTAATCTTTTTTTCTTTAAACAATCAGGTCCCCTTCCGCTGGAAAGCTTATTCAGTTTGTTGTTGAAGACGGAGGTCATGTGTTTCAGGGAGAGTCTTTTGCTGAGATTGAAGTGAGTTGAATGGTGGTTCTTCAGCTGTTAGTTCCTACCTATAGGAATCTTAGGTTGTGTTCGTATATATTCAGGTTTTATTTGGCGAGTGTTTTGATGAAGTTGGTTTATAGGTTTATCTCTGAATGACCAAAAAAAAATTAACATTGCCTTATATTTCAAATATTTCAATTGGTTTTATCAACTGTGTTGATGATGTAAATTGGTCACCGTAAAGAGTTTCTAAAGCTGACGTTTCGATGAGGGGTAAGCGCTCGAAAAGTCAGCTTTTGAAACTCTCTATGGAGGCCAATTTGCATTATCAACTCAGTTACCGACTTAGCGCCATAGATTTTTTAGAAACGTACCTCTTTATTAGAAAAGCCTCAGTTGCAAAGTTTAGATACATTTTTGCCATATTTTCATAGCTATTTTTACTGGGTTTCAGGTTATGAAGATGGTTATGCCTCTTACCGTCAGTGAGAGTGGTTGGTGAGTGAGATGTTTTTGTATTTCAGTTTGGTCTCCAAAATATTTTAATCAACAATTTGTTGCTTTTGACGCCGAATGGTAACAATAATTGGCGAAAGCATAAGGTTGTCTAATGCCTTTTGCGAGTTCGTGATGTTTCCTATTCGAATTTCTATCAAAGTAGTTTTTTTGAGATAAAATTTATTATGGTTTTTTTCTTGACTAGTGTGCACTATATGAAGAATGCTGGAGCTGTGCTGGAGCCTGGTTCTATCGTGGCCAAGTTGGAACTGGATGATCCAAGTAAAGTTACACAGGTAATATAAACGATGACGATATCTTGATGCAACCATGAGTCGCTGAAAGGTGCTAGAACAACAGGAAGACCAAGCAGAAGTAGGCTAGAGTTAACGATCCGGTGCAACTTGATCAGGCTAAAAGGCTAAAAGGATTTTCTTTGAAAAGACACGGGTGAACGCGTGTACCACTTTGCTATAGCGAAAAATTTATATTTCTTAGTGTTGAACTTTAGGGCATGTTATCATAGATGTATGATATCATTATTTTCAGCATATCTTTTGTTACAATGTGCAAGGGTTTTTTGTTTTTCTGTTCGTCCAGGCGCAGCCCTATACTGGTCAGTTTCCTGAAACTTGTGGAGCCAAACTTAAAGGAAGTAAATTGCACCAGGTGAAGAAAAGAACATGTCTTTTCAGTTTTTTTTCCTCAGAGGGGCGTTTATTTAAAATCTTGTGCCGGCTAATTTAATCGCTTTTGATCAAACAAAATATAAAGTGATAGTTAACGAAACAAACCAAAACACCACCGCAATGGTCTTTGTTGTTTGGCGTGTGTGGGAGAAAACCTGATAAAACTTTTGCTAATCATATATTCGTAAAAGGGCTGTCTCAGATGAAATGGCATCGTTTATTTCAGTTGCAAAACTTTTTTTGCAGATTTTCCACACGGCTCGTGAGAACCTTCAGAACGTCATGGATGGTTACTGTGTTGGTGAACCATATTTTTCTCAAAGGTTACAAGAAAATGTTAACACGCTCATGCAAGCCTTGAAAGATCCTGCATTACCTCTATTAGAATTACAAGTAAGCTACTTGTTATCATTTACTTTTAACAAGGTTGAGTCATATCACCATTGAGTTTTTTAAGTGATATATCTTGGTTAGGAATAAGAGAGAATGTTTTGATTCTTTGCAGGATATGATCTCATCCATTTCGGGCCGTATTCCAGGAACTGTTGAAGAGGCCATAAGAAAGCATCTTACAAGCTATGCCAGTAATATCACATCCGTGTTGAGTCAGTTTCCAAGTCAGCAGGTAAGCTTCGGAGGAAGAAGATACAGTAAGGATGACCGTGCTGTACTGGGCAACATGATAACCATGAGGGCCACTCATTCATAAAAATTTTTATCTCTTGAATCAGAAGCAGATTTACGGTTTCCCTTTTGTTTAGACAAAACGTGAGACACTGTTGATGTTGATAAAGTGCGTTCTTGAAAAATGTATTAAAACACTTGTGAATAATATTTGAGAAGCCACGTTACTATTCGGCTCCAAATATGAACAAGGTAAACATACCTGTAAGCAACTGCAAGTATTTTACATTTCTTTCCTTTACCATAAACATTCAGAATTGGTGGCAACTGTGAATGCAGAAATAAACAAGATTGCTGCCTGAAATTTGTTCAACATTTATCACTGATTAAAAGAGCTGAATTTATTGCAGATTGCCAATGTTGTTGATGCTCATGCAGCAACTTTGACTAAAAGAACTGAGCGGGATGCTTTCTTTTTGAACACGCAGAATATTGTGCAACTTGTCCAGAGGTAAAAATTTCAGTTTCGGTGACCTTTTTCCTTTTTTTTTTTTTTGGCGTTACACAGTCCTGCTTACAACGTAACTCAACGTGTTGATAGTCTTTCATCTGCTTTGCTGTTTTCTTTTGTGAATATGTAATTCAATCCCTCACTCCAAGCTGTCATTGTTTGAATGCGATGAGATCTTTGTTTCAAGCATATTTCGAGGTTGCTTTCTCAAAGTTCCAGGAGTGAAAGGATAGATAGAACGTGTGATGTCATTACTCGCTTCGAGTCGACTGTTGTTGTTGTTGTTATGTACACATGTAGGTGCGCGAAAGATATAGAATGAGTCAGAGTAGCTTGCAATCAAGCAGTCAATGGGAAGGAGGCTTCTTTATTCCCTTGTTTCCTCGGCTCTCTCCTCCTGGCCGAGAATAAAACAATAACAACAACTTACAACAGTTGCGTTTCACGTTCTTACGTATTGTTGTCCTATGTTGAATTAATTTTCCATCAGGTATCGCAATGGCATTCGTGGACATATGAAGGCAGTGGTTTTGAGTCTGTTAAGGCAGTATTTGCAGCATGAAGTAGTTTTTAATGAAGGTACTGTCTACAAAGAGTGAAGTTCTGAGCGTCCAAACAGATATTCATGATTTTAAGAATTAAATTAAGAGTCATTCTTTCTCCTTCCTGTTCCACCTCTCATCCGTATTTACTCCTGGTGCTCTCTTTGACCAAAGACATTTGGAAAAAAATTGCGAAGCGTTACTTTTATTAACGATTATTTAACTCTGCAGGAAACTTTGAAAAGTGTGTCACACTGTTACGTGACAAACACAAGTCGCAAGATCTCTCTCCGGTTGTGCAAAGTATTTTCTCTCATGCTTCTGTAGCCAAGAAAAACCTGCTGACGATAATGCTAATAGTAAGTAAATAATCTTACTCTATTTCTGGTCATTCTGACAGGAATGATTTTCTCTAGTCGTTGACATTTGTGGTAGTTTTCCTTTTCCGTCAGGGTTTATTGGATGACTATAGTACATATCGACTTGATTTGAGTCAACTTAGGTGCTAAACTCTTTGAATAACTTCGATCTTCTAAGGATCAGTTGTGCGGACGGCAAACTGGTTTGTCAGATGAACTGAACCATCTGCTTCAAGAACTTACCACCCTCAACAGACATGATAATGCCAAGGTGGCACTTAGAGCAAGACAGGTTTGTTCGACTATTGTTACGGTCGTTACTTTGAAGGGTTAGCGCGGCACTGAGGTATTACTTGGGGCTTTTGCGCTCAAAGTGATTGCCATTTATTTGCATAACATCAAATGAAACACCTTTGGAGGTTCTTTTAAAATGAGAATTCGTGCTTACGTTTGGGTGAAATGGGATTAGTCTCGTAAAAGCAAATTGTACTGCGCTTCTGAGGCTCTTTCGATCTTAATGAATTTCCTGGTACCTTAGTTTGGTCCGTTTCAATCTTCTTTTTTCTTAGGCCTTGCTAGCTTCACAGCAACCATCCTATGAACTTCGTCACAATCAGATTGAATCACTGTTTCTTTCCGGCATTGACATGTACGGTAACCAGATGTCTTCCGACAGTTTTCAGGTATAGTTAAAGGTTGCTCTCCTACAAAATCCCCATTCGTACATAACTAGGAAACACCTTCGATGGTTTGGTTTCTCTCCATTTTTATGGTGAAAACCGACATGAGTTGGGAATCTTATGATGTGCGTTACTTTTGTGAAGAAAAGGTAATGCATCTATGATATTTGAATAACCTTCCATTCTCCCAATTGCTGGTAGGACGCCACTGCACTCCCTATAAGTGTTGTTTTATCCCCTCCCCCCCCCCCCGCCATATGATGGCCCTCGAAAAGAACAGCATTCGTCCCAGTATCAACAGAACTCACCTTCTGTTACCCTAACTCTTCTGTTACTTACAGCATCTTGCCAAACCCCACGGGGCCGATGCATAGTAAACGAAAAAGATGACCGCAAGCATGATAACAACTGTATCTTTATGGGAAATGATGAGTAAATATTTAAAATGTGCTTTTGTCACAGAAATTGATTCTGTCAGAGAACGCTATCTTTGACATTCTTCCAAGCTTCTTCTACCATTCCAGTGAAGCCGTGAAAAGGGCAGCTTTGGAGGTATGGTGATGTAATGATGATATCAACGCTAATAATACTTCAAATATTTTTGTGTGCGTGTGATTGGCCTAAACGCATCACGTGATTAAACTGGGGAATATCCGTGGATAAACCCCAGTGATATTCCCCAATTTTAAAACCTCACATCCATACGGAAAACTCCTTGTTTAAAATTTAAGTGCGTTGTCTGGTTTTTACAAAAGAAGGGAAAGGGTTTTTTGTTCATAAAGTATCATTAGAGAACACTGAAAAGAGTAAATCCGCTGCCGTAAACAGCAAGTCGTTCGTAAACATTTCTCGCGCACATTGAACAATATTTGATGGATGATGAACACATTTGCCTCCATTTGGCGTGAAAATATGCTCGCACATTTGTCCTTGGACGTTATCTGTTTATCGAAGCTCACAGTTTTCTCGAGCTTCGCTCTTGGAAAACTGTTCGTACGTTGGAACGGGTAGTGTCAGCAGACAAAAAGCCGTGCTTATTTTCGCGCCAAATGGAGGCAACTGTTTATATATTTAATTTTTTCATTACTCTGTTGTATCTCTGACGAGGGATATTTCCTTACACCATGTTCTGTAGGTTTACATCAGACGTAGTTACCAAGCCTATGAACTCACCACATTGTACCACGAGAAGGTAAATAGTTATATAACTTTAAAGATCTCTCAGTTATTCCTTAGCTTTATTCAATCACTACACCAACCGACGTTGTTGGTAACGTTGGCTTAAAGAGTTTCCTTTAAGACAAATTCATCAGAATGGCCTTTCTTTAAAACAATAATAACAGTTTGTAGCATGTATTATGGTCTTCACAATCAGATATTGTTCGTTTTTTGAGGGAGAGTTCCTTTGTCAATAATGAGTATTGTATTTGAGTCTTATTGTACCTGCCTTGTGATCGGGGATGGAACCCAATTAGAGAAACTGAGCTTGAGGCAGTACTGGGTGTGAGACAAGTCTTCTATTCTGTGGTCCTACCGACGCTTGTTCGTTTGAGGATGCTGCTCAAGAAGTTAACTTTAGAATTAGTATCTTTTCTTTCAACTTAAATGCTACTGAAGATCCTGTATCACGAGCTAAGTGGAAACAAAGATCAGAATTAGAGACGTAATCTAATATTAACCGTGAAGTCTTTTGATAACGTTTTGCTGTATTTTCTGTTTTCTTAGATCGACGAAAATGTCTTAATTGTGGAGTTCCAGTTTATTCTTCCAAGTGCACATCCAAACAGGTTTGTTGTGCTCTAACACACGTTTTGACATGTCCCAGCGACTTTTACTGACTGCTTTTGTCTTGTGGTTCTTAGGATGCCACAAAGAGTTCCTTCTAGTAGAACTGTTCTCGCCATGCCAAGGGTAAGGTTACATTTGTCTTAGAAAAAAGTCCTATCGAATTTTTTACTGTTTTAGCCCTGTTTCAATGTTTAATGTCGCTTTGTTTCCCTTTAGGTTCGCAGTCTTAGTGAAGATATGTATGACCTCATCAATCAGCAGCCTTTACAGCCATGCCAAAGAACCGGTGTAATGGCAGCGTTTCAGTCAATGGGTGAATTCGAAAAGTAACTTTTTCTTATATTTGTTGTCTATAAATAAGGACGGTCTTTCACCCCCCTAAAGGTGCACACATCCTTACGAAGCATTTGATTTTCACCCCCGAATGTCCTTTTTCTTTTTATTTAATGGTGTGTATGTACTTTCTATTAGTTTTTATTGTGCCCTGCCATCGCAGCGTCCGGTCCATTTTCTTGATAAGGTCTAGGCCACTAGTATGATTTGTCAGTAATGACTAGTTGACCTTTACTGAAATAATTTTGTTCACAGAGAATTTGGAAAGGAGTACCCACAACCCCTCCGAAAACATCTTACTTGAAAGACTATGTTTAAGTGTCATCTTCTTATTCTTTTCCAGGAATTTTGAGGAAATCATGAATCGTTTTGAGCCTACAACCCCAGAGCAGTTGTCCCCATCACCAATGGGAAGGAAGATGAGCTTGGATCCTGTGTTTGAAGCTGAAAATAAGCCAGCGGTAAGAATAACGTGAAGCAACGTCAATATATTTGAAATTATTTCATGGAAACGAAGAGAATTTCCTTTAGATCAATTTTCTATTAATTGTCCAATGTAACCTGGGATTGTTTGCTTTTGCTTTACTTTGCTCCGTGATTGGTCTAGAAAACTTGCCCGACTCCCTCAACAAATCAGATTCAAACCTAAAACCAATCGCGATTTTGTCATTCGCGCTTTCCTACGCTTTAGGCAGTTTGCTTGTTTTTGCTTTGAGTTTTCATTGGCTCCTTGTGATATTTTTCTCTGTTCTGATTAGCTGTTGTGATTTCTTTAGTTTAAGTTCTACGACACTCCATTTGAAATGCGCTCTAAATGAAGCGAAACTGCAGGATAACACCTTTTAGAGTAGCCAGGCACTAAAGAGTGAGGAAGAATAAAAAAAAGAAAAGAACGCAGCCCGTAACTGACAAATTTTTACAACAAAATAACCGATATTGGTGGAGAGGGACAAATGGTGGCTTTTCTCCTATAACTGCATGCGTGGTCAGCGGTCAGGTTTTGGTTTTAGCCATGGCATATCTGTATATGTTTTACTCTTCCAGTTAGTTTAAGCGTGGAGTGTTTATCTTCTCAAACATTGTCGCTGTCTGTTTGTTGAGAAGAAGTATTTTGGTTTGTATTTTTTATTAGTTTCGAGATTGGGTGTAAGTTCCTTCCAATTACCTTGTTTGTTCAGTGATAAAGAACAAAAATTGTATTTATTAGAACTACAGTATTTAAGCCCATGCATGTGCAAATGAATATTTTCAGAGTGCGAGTTTTTGTTTATATTACTTTTTTGTTTTGATTTTGTTTTTAGCCTGGTGCTGGAAAGGAAGAAGAACCAATTCACATTATAAACGTCGCTTTGCGAGTTGAAAAGAATTGCAAAGATGTGGAAATCTGTCGAAAGCTGGTGTATGAGTTTACACAATCCAAGGTAAGAATTGCTTTGTTTTATTTTGTTTTATTGTTTTGTTGTTTTTTTGGTTATATTTTTGTCTTTTTTTTCGCAAGGGGGGATCAAATTAACTCACTATAGAAGTGCTGCCGGAGTCTTGCCTTAAAGCACAACACAGTTACTATAGCCAGGGGTATATAAACCCGAAGCAATTGATCCAGAGTCCAGCGCACTAATCATTGGGTCACGATTTCTCCTACATTTGCTGCAGGCAGAGAGTTTCTTAAATTTACGCCAGCTTTGGAACTTCTACCCAGTTAACTTTTTACGAAATGTAGAAAAAGGGTAAAAGCAGAAGGTATTCTTTTTTGAGCCAATCATTCCACGAATCGTTTTTTGTTGTTATTATTCAGAAAGAGATTTTGAAGGACAAGGGAATCAGGAGAATCACTTACCTATTAAGTGATTGTAAGGTAATGCAATTATTCCGTGTACTCGGTATGAGCATGCGAGGACGGAAGGAAATATCGCATATTTATGTTGATAGCGATCGTGGTGATCTTGGTTTTTCTCTTTTTTCCGTTTTGTTTATTTTTTCCTTTTTTTTTTTTGATAACTGTCATTGAGACAGGGTGATCACATGAATTTTTTTTACTCTAAATAAGAAAAGGAGGTCCACCATTACACTGCTTTTCCTGCACTACCGTTTGTAATGTATATAAAAAACCTCCGCCACAAGTCTGATACAAACCAGCACCATTGGCAACTTGATGCACAAACTAAAAATAGGAGAAAGAGCTCTCTATCCAAAGCACTCTGTTTGTAGTATGATTGACACAATGTTATAGAGGTTGATGAATTATGGCGTTTTCAGCAGGGCATGATGCCATGGTTCTTCACCTTCCGAGCTCGGGACGATGTGAGTATGCGACTGTTAAAAAAAAAAAACGTTCTCCTGATATATGTGTTTATAGTAGGTTGATCGACATGCGAAGAGAGAGGACTTAAAGAAAGGACTTGTCAAAGATCCGGTTTGTTGGTATAGAAGAAATAACAAGGGAATTTTCAAGATGTTAAGAAAAGTTCTTCTCCTTCACTTCTCCATTTTTAATGGTTTGCTTTACAGTTTTCTTTGCTAGTACTTAAAGTGAAACATTTTCCGTTTAAAGTTTGCCAAAGGAAGCTCTGTAATTAAATTCGGCTTCAGGTCGACAAAAGCACCCGTCTGCTCTACCCATGATCCTCTCGTTGGTACCGTATTCTGAGCAACAGACCGGTATACGGAAGATTACGGGCTTGCCCCTGTGAGGGTATTGAGACTTCTTTACTTCGGCAGTAGATAGAAATCTTCTCCTAACTTGTGCCGTTGTATTTGTTTACCTTCCTTCTAGTTCGAAGAAGATTCCATTTATCGTCACTTGGAGCCAGCTCTGGCATTCCAGTTGGAGGTTAATCGTTTACGAAACTTTGACTTGGAGACGATTCCAACTACAAACCACAACATTCATTTGTACCTCGGATCAGCTAAGAAGGTATTCGTTAATCTCAAAAGGTTGTTATAACCATGATTTTGTGTCTGCTTTGTGTTGGTTCATAGTGGTTGGAAACAGCTGTTACACCGCTTGATCAGTGAACAATGCAAAGGCAGGACACTTGAAGGACTATAGCCCTTGAAAAGTCTCATTGATCTCCAATAAAATTACTTAAACCTCTTCAAGGGAATGCTTTGATGGAAGAGGATGTGAAAAAAATTATCTGTTAATTATGATTTTGAAAAATTTCCTAAGACTAATTTTGATATTGTTTGGTGTAGCATTGACATTGTAAAGATAATCTGAATGAGGTGGCAGTGTGTTAAGTTAAAAAGAAGGAATATTGTTCTGAAGCTGATGATGTCAATATTATCATATTTTGCGCAGATTTCAGCTCACTCAGAAGTCACAGACCACAGGTTCTTCATCAGAAGCATTGTGAGACATTCGGATTTCATTACCCGGGTAAGACCTTATTGACGCACTTTTTTGAGTTACCCTATAGACAGCGGTATTATGTTCCATTACGAGATGTTTTCAATATGAAGAAGTTACAACTTGCGTTTCTTTTCTCTTTAATAGGAGGCGTCATTTGAATATATGGAAAAGGAGAGCGAGATCCAACTCCTCGAGTCTTTAGATCAACTGGAAGTTTGTGTTTCAGAGACTGTAAGTCTTCTTTTGTGCATTAAATGTTTAATTTTTGCTACCAGTATCATATGCTATTAATAAACTTGCCAGCAAACGGCACGATGAAATAATTCCATGGTTATTTGCTTTGCAACATCCATTTTGAAATCATAGGTGATCTCTAAAATCTGATTGGTTCCCAGTAGTGCAGTTAATTAAGGAAACGCACTATTATTTGCTCTAAATCGCATCTTTCCCCCGGCCAAGAAGAAAATAAATGGAAAACAAAACAAAAATTCAGATTTCAAGGCTCATTTAGTAGTAATACGTAGAGCAAGCTTGTTTTGTTTATTTTCTATGTAAAGTGAAATTGTCGCAGCTGATTAGGATGCAAAAGTATAACAGTGAAAAGATCAAAGCACTGGTCACTGGAAAGTTGATATTTAAAAGACCACCTCCTGAAGTGGCCAGTTTTACAGAATAGCAACAATTTTCTTGTCTCAAATTGCTTTCTTTGGCAGATCTAATAAGTGAGCACCTACGACTGGGTGCCTACGGGAGTTTCGATTATAGTAGTTTCAATTTGGGTGAGGCCAGTGTGTTTTTCCTTGCAGCCCAAGAGAACAGACTGCAATCACATTTTCCTGCACTTCGTGCCTTGTGTCATTATTGAGCCAAACAGGGTAGGTCTGCTTAATCTTGTACGATTTAGGTCTTACGGGGATAACTGCATTTAAACATGATAATGACACTGTTTTAAAGTGGTTTGATTGGACAGGAGAGGAAAAGGTAAACGATAGCAGTTAAACGGTCCATCAGTTGAAACGGATTGTTTTTCTACCAGACCGGTATGATTCAGGTGATGATTTTATTGATAGCATAAAACATGACAGATTTTCCGATGAATTCTGCACTTTTGACAGATTGAAGAAAGTATACGTCACATAGTCACGCGATATGGCAGACGGCTGTGGAAGCTGCGTGTGCTTCAAGCTGAAATGAAAGTCACTATCAGGTATTGAGCGATGTTGGGGTATTTAACCAGAGTTTTATATAAATACCTGTCGATTTATGTTTTTACACTAAATAAACGCGTGAGACGCTGCGGCCAAACGATAGCTTGCTGGTCTTTGGATCAAAGGTTACAAATGTCAGCTCCGTTCGAGTCATTACGGTATGTTTTTTCCTTGTGGTGCCTCTCTCCACTCAAGAGTGTGAATGATGGCTTCCAAGCAAATTTAGCGAAATGCGTAAGGAAGGGAGGGGAGGGTATCCAAAGGAGAGTGGTGATGCTCTCAACCGCTCAATGCTAGTCGAAAGCTGGGCTACTTTGAGAGTTATTCTTTGTTTTTATAGTCTTTATCTTTGAATTATTTTATATTCTAGGCTCACTCCCACTGGAAAAAAGATTCCTCTGAGGGTGTTTATGTCCAACGAGTCCGGATATTATTTGGGCTTCCATATCTACCGAGAGATAACGGACCCAAGGACAGGACAGGTAAGGATTTCGAGAAAATCGTACATATATTTAGTAAGGCGGCCATCGCTCACTAGTTCGAGGCTCTTGCAACAGGGGATGAGACAGTGGTTGGTGTGATGTCAGAAAACTGGTGATGCAACTGTCACTGAATTTATGTCTACTTGTTCCTCTCACAAGTTAGAGTCGCGATCAATTGTAGAGTCAAAGTATCAGTCGAGGACGCAACGTTCCGATTGCTATACTGATATGGATGGTCTTCGTGAGGTGATGATTTTGAATAATTTCGTGCTGCTGCAACTGATAGCTTTGCTTTACAATTGATGGTAACTGTTCACCCTGACGTCTAATTTCTTCTCACAATATCACTCTTGACTCAAATGTAAAGGTCATGAGAATGATGTCAATGATCAACAATTGAAGAAACTTTTGATTGTCAAAAATATTCTCCTCGTTATAACCAGAGGAAATGTAGAGAGATCAGTGTGGAGAATATCAATACTAATCTAAAGGCTTAATCATAAGAAAGACATACCCAAGGGCCCGAATTTGGACCTTTCGATCCAGATTTCTGTTCGCCACTTACTCTTCCACTGCGTAACGTATTTAACGTATTCAAGAAGGACCGCGATATAATTTCTTAGTAAACCCTCAAACTTGTGGTACAAGTCTCGCTTGAAAAAGATAAAACGTTTATTTATACAGTGTGTGGATATCTACAATATGTGCTTTGGTAGTCGTTCTTTCACTTTTTTTATTAACCCTTGTTACCGGATCATTGTATAGATTGTGTTTGAGTCCTATGATCAGAAACAAGGTCCTCACCACGGACTCCCTGTAAGCACCCCTTACGTCACGAAGGACCACTTACAGGTAACTACTGCCGTCAAATTGGCTCGCCAGTGTGTTTCTTATAATAATTACGGTGATGATGTATGCTGAACCTTTTATTGATGCTTGAAGATTGGGAATTGCTGGAATATTTTAGATTGAAAGGGAAATGTAGCTTCAACCAGCACTAACTGTTTTGACATAACAAGAGTTGTATACAAATTCTAAGATATATATGTGTGTGTGTGTATATATATATATTTTTTTTTTGGTCAGAGCTGGATACAACTTAAACGTTACGAGACATCTAGGTATATTGCAGTTTGAGAGATTTCTCGCTCACCTAGCATCATAGCTCTAAGAAAATTTACAAATAGGTAGGAAGACGAAAAAATTGATAGGTAATACTGTTGTGGTACCTTATCAATGCTAAAAACGACGGTTTATTATTCGTAAGGATAAATTTACCATTTTTTTTCTTTAGCTGAAGCGCTTTTCGGCACAGACTCTTGGAACAACCTACGTGTATGATTTTCCGGAGCTTTTTCAGCAAGTGAGTCATCTGCCTTACTGCCCTAATAGAATTTAGGGTATAACTTCTCCCAAAGTTAACAGGAAATTTAATCCTAGGAGATTTCTAATTGTAGCTTGAAGAGAGCTCCGTTTGGTATGCTGAAGAGAGGTTTCGAAGTATGACGTGTTCAAAACACAGCAAATAACAAAAGTTGAGCTTTTTCCTGTCTCCTTGGAGCTGCTTTTACTCTCAAGTCGTATAATTTTAAGTTATTTTCAAGAAGAGTTTAAGGCCACATTTCTGCAGCGTGGATTTAGAGCCCACGCGAAAAGTGAAGTGAAACGTGGTATTCCACATGTACAGAGTTTGAAAGTTATCCCCGAGACTCCTGATAACCGGAGTGGGGAGGGGGGGGGGAGAGAGAGGGGGAGTAAGAAGGGGAGGAAAGAACAGAACGTGGATGGTTGGGACTGAGAAAGATTAGCACGGATTGTGCTTAACGAACGTTAAGCTTAACTTTTCAAGATGCCCCTTCGTGACGCGACTCTTCTAAACTTGACACTTCACAGGCTTCTATGCCGTGAATCCACGGTAACTTCGGTAGGACAAAATAGGAGTACTCGTGCAAACGAGGTTTCTCTTTTCTTTAACGTATCAGGCTATCGCAAGGCAATGGAAACAATGGTGTTCTAAACACAAGGAGGAAAAATGCCCCACCAATGTTGTAAGTTTATCATGTCATGTCTTTCATGCAGTCTCTCAGTAGCATGCATCTTTGTTTTAGACCCAGTATTAGGCCTATCATCCATAATACAAAGGCGTTCTTTGAATCAGTTACAAAATCGTACGTGTGTTTATAGGTTTGGTGGGGCTGACTGTTTACACTGAACTGTTGTTATCTAGTCTTGAGCACAATACTGAACAATATAAATAAAAAAGGCAATATGCTGCTTAAATGGTGTGAGGTTTCTCCTTTTCTCATTTCCATAGTCGTTTTATTTCAGATGAAAGTTACGGAGTATGTTTTGGATGAAAACGATCAACTTATGCCAATGAACAGATTGCATGGAGAGAACACTGTAAGTGATATATACCACCAACACACAGGTAAAAATGCTTGTGGATTATATTCTGTGTTCTACTATAGGCAACATTAACACGACTTTTATGACTCAGATTGGAATGATAGCATGGAGACTGCAATGTATAACACCAGAATGTCCAGAAGGACGTGAGGTTAGTAACTTAACTTACTTGCTTACTTCTCCTTAGAATGCCTCTGATAATCATTAGAGCCAATGGAAGCTAATGAAATATCAGAAAGAAAACCCCAAGAACTTAAAGCAATCTTACTTAGTCAAGCTCAAGCGCGAAAATGATTGGCTGAGAGAGTGGAGAGTAACCTGTTCTGGGATCTCGGCCAATGAAACGAGCGACAAAGCTGGGAAGGGTTCCGGAGAACCTAAGATTTTTTCCAGGCAAAGTAGGGCGATTTGTCAGAATGGGATGAATTAGTTCGACCCTACACTACTTTGAAGTTATGGAAACTTAGTTTACTTACTGTCTATTGTTTTGTTTTGTTTTCATTTATTTTGTCTACGCTTTGTTTATAGATAATTGTTGTTGCCAATGACATCACAGTGATGATCGGCTCATTTGCTCCCCCAGAGGACATGCTTTTCAAGGTAATGTTGTAGTTACTTGACCAAATGAATTCGAGGTTTATGTTATAGTAAGAATAATCGATAACTTAGCTTTTAAAAAAAGCCAAGAACTAGTAAATATTTTGTACAGTTCACTCAACAAATTCCTGGAACTAGCGATAGACCTCTTTCCAAAATAAGAGAAAACTGGGAATGCTAAATGTTTAAGTCGAGGGTTAGCATTTCAGGGAGTTCTCCGAACTACGGTTCGTTGTTATTGTCAGTGAAATACTTCTCAGATGGTAAGTTACCACCAGAATGACTCCATAGCTATTAAAGTTCAACTGAATTCAAACATTACTTTTGTTTTCAGTGTTCTAATTTATCTTTTCTGATCTTACTTTCAGAGAGCTTCTGAAATGGCAAGGGCTCAGGGCCTACCATTTGTGTATATCTCTGCTAACAGTGGTGCTCGCATTGGATTAGCCGAGGAAGTAAAGCACCACTTTAAAGTGGCCTGGAATGATCCTTTTGCACCCGAGAAGGTCATAGGATTTTTAAATTTGTCTCATGTTATTTTATTGTTATTCTTTTTTCTTTTTTTTTTTTGTAGAGTATACCTGATGATTAGATACGCCAGAAAAGAAAAAAAGACATCAGAAGTTTTTCATCTAATTAGCTCTTTAAATTAGCTTAAAATTTGAACCCAGGAAGCAGTCGGAAGATGACGTTAAAGTTTTTGTCACGAAAATAAATATAATTTCAGTTAGACCTTTGTTCTCCACACGTTAGACAGGCAGTATGTGCTACCAGATTTAAGTTACCGATAAGTCAATCCCGGAAACAGAAACTTTTCTATGTAAGTTAATCCTACTATGAGTTAGTTGTCTTCTGTTTGACTTAAAGTTTATTTATCTTTTCAGGGCTTCAAATATATTTATGTCACTCCCAGTGACTTCAAAAAGGTGAGAGTGGTGTCATGATTTTCGTTCTGGTGTTTCATTTTCTTAACCTGCTTACCTGTATTTAGGGAGCGAGAATCGTTTTGTGCTCTTTCCGCTGACCCATTCTTATCTTTCCAAACACTCCTAGAAGGAAGAAATATAACTACCTGTTTTATGCCTAGTTACAGAGCATTGGTAGCACTAATCGGAAGGTCTTTGGTTCGGCTTCGGCTTCGGCCTCTGTCGGAGGTACTCGGATGTCAGCTCTATTAGCCGAATTTCCCTCTCCACTGACTGACAAAGAGAGTTTCCTCCTTAGCTCTAGATACCTATCGTTCAGCAGTTTCTATTGAAACGTGATGTGATCATGTTTTATCATTCCAGCTGAGTGCCACAAACTCCATGCATGCTGAACTGATTGAAGATGACGGCGAGTCCCGATACAAAGTCACTGACATCATAGGTGAGCATTAATCACACTGCATTGTAATGAATAAGTGTGAAGAGTCCTCTTCGAGCCATTAGAAGTCATACATCTCTATAATCAATTATCATGAACTTTTGCTCTGAGGTTGTATCTCATTAGTTATTTACATACTCTCTGCAGGGCGTGATGATGGTATCGGAGTGGAAAATCTAAAAGGGTCTGGCATGATCGCCGGAGAGATGTCCGCTGCTTACGATGATATCGTGACCATGAGTCTTGTAAGTAGCTGTTCATTGTAATGATTTTGAAAATTCGAGAACTGTTGGAGATCGATCGGAAAAATATTTCAAAACTGTGCGTTTTCTCAATTGAAATGTTTGTTGACTGATCAGTTTGAATGAAGAACTTTTACAGTCCTCAGCAACCGAGCAACGAAGACAAAAATGATAGAACCTAAAGCATAAGGTGGCCGAATCTGACGATCTTGTTTTATGTTATTACTCAGTCCATGCATTGAGTTCGCGTGCTACTTGATAAACAGTTTTCTTAAAGCGATTGGGTTACAAAAACTATCCCCTGTACCCAAATGTTAACATGATAAATACGAGATCGCCTTACCTCTTTTAAGTTGTGTTTTCCCCTTTTGTAGGTTACGTGCCGTGCTGTTGGTATTGGTTCTTATCTCGTTCGTCTTGGTCAGAGGGTTATTCAAGTAGAGAATGCGCATGTTATACTCACGGGATCTGGAGCATTGAACAAGGTAGAGACCTTTTAAGTCTAAGCTTGAAATTATTTTTTGTTCCCTCAGTTATCAAAAAAATGACAGAAACCTTGGCGGATAATACTGTTTCGTTTATTTAATAGATATTTCCTCTCTTAGGTCCTTGGTCGCCAGGTTTATACGTCAAACCTTCAGCTGGGAGGACCTCAGATTATGCACAATAATGGTGTGTTGATACGCGCATTTTTGGGGGGTGTAGATAGATAGTAGTTTTTTTATCACAGTCTCAACATTGCACATTGTGTTCTTAGTTGCAGAGCCGAATTTTCCATATCCGCCGTCACTCATTATTTTATTAATGCAGAAAATAACACATTTGATCTAAATCCTCCAGCCAGAACTAAGTAACAAAACCTTCGAAACCCTTTAAGCTCATATTTCCTGACAGATCCACGAGACGATTTGCAACTGCGTGGAACGCATTTCTAACAACGAATCTACGTTTCCAAAGGGCTTATTTTGTTCTGAAACTTATTTAAGGGCTTATTTTAAGTCTCTTTTCTTGAGATGGAGGAGGAGGCAGTGTGGCCGAGTGGTTAAGGCGTTGAACCTGTCATCTGGTGGTCCCGGGTTCGCTGGGTTTGTTGTCGATTGCTCCGAGTTCATCTCCTTGGCTGAGCTCTGACACCGACCAGTTGGCATTTTTAAATGCTATGTTTAATTATCTTGTTTGTTTCAATATGTTTTTACGTCAACTAATGTTGTTATTCATAGATTGTTATTACGATTGGGATTTACTCCTGGCGTTGTATAACAGGGAACAACAGCCCCCTTATACTTAAAGTGGTACAGTCGCTAAATTCCCATAACTGAATCTATGCCTACGCTCTCTACAGGCGTGACTCACATGGTAGTTGCCGACGATTTTGGAGGAATTTCCGCTATCGTGCAGTGGCTTTCGTATGTTCCTAAGGTAAGTATATCAATAATGCAACAATTCTCGTTGACAACTTTGCTGAAAAAACTCAATTTCTTTATTTTTTATTTTTTGTATTTTTGCATCTTGTCATTTTGTTGTTTGTATTTAGTGCAAAAATGGTCCTCTGCCGATCCTAAAGACGAGTGATCCTGTTGAGAGAGAAATTGAGTTTGTCCCACCCAAGACACCATATGATCCTCGGCACTTGATCTGTGGAGCACCACATCCCGGTAGGTACTTTAAAGTTTAAAGTGCTCAGATTCATGAATTTAATCCTAGTCACTGAAGAAACGTTTGCTCTCTGCTTGTCCGTTCAACCTCGCGCGATTTCGATAGATGCAAAGCAAAAATTTTTCCAGCTTTAAAACAGAGAACAATGACTTTATCTATTTGTATATTTTTGGTTATGTGGTTATATTTTATATACTATTTGTTTATGGGTCGTCATGGTTGTGGAACGAAACATAAGTTAGCACATCAAGGGTTTAACCAACGGAGTGTGCAATGGTTTGCTGTAGGATAGAGTCAGCTATTCATTGTTCTTTACTGTTACATGAATTACAAGCCAAAAATAAAAAATACACCACTTTCGTGTGTCTTGATGTATCATGTATCATTAAGTTTCGCGAGGGCGTTCTTTGCGTCGTTGAAAGCGTCTATGTAACTTTCCTACAAGAGCTATTGACTTTGTTGACTGCTCTGTTTTGTAGAAAATGAGGATGTCTGGCTTAGTGGCTTCTTTGATAATGGTTCCTTTGTGGAAACTTTAGACGGTTGGGCAAAGACTGTCGTGTGTGGAAGAGCAAGGTAACTTAAGTGACGAGTGATCTGTTTTTGTTGTTTGTTAGTGAGGCCATTTGTTATCTTCGACCAAGTTTCATTTTTTCGTAATATTTATTGTTTATGTAGGCTGGGTGGTATCCCAATGGGAGTGATAACTGTCGAAACCAGAGCAGTTGAAGTTGTTATTCCTGCAGATCCTGGCAATCCTGATTCCGACACCAAGGTATGAACGCACTTCCTCTGTGTTAATCCTGAAATACTGGCTCGGTCAACAGGTCTACTCTTTTTTTCAGTATTCCTTTCATATGGCGTCTCCAAAGCATTGAACACCACTCGGTGTTAATTTGTTGTTTGCAACTAATGCCACAACAAGAGAGGGGATTGAAAAGTCGACATGTCAGGAAAGGCTTCAGAATTTTACCCACTGACTAATATATCTAAAATATTAAATGCGCATCTTCATTTTTGGGAGAGGTATTTATTATGAGAGAGGATCATCTTAATTGTTACCTAGGGACACGACAGAAGAAGTTTAGCAGGCAAGGAATACTCAATGAAATAGTTATTCCTTTCATCACTGTTATCTCCGTTCATTTCAGATTCACGCCCAAGCAGGGCAAGTGTGGTACCCAGATTCTGCCTACAAAACTGCGCAAGCCATCCGTGACTTCAACAAAGAGCAACTCCCTTTGATGATTTTTGCCAACTGGAGAGGATTTTCGGGAGGTAGGGGGGGACTCGTTAAGATATCATTATTTAATTCTCCTCTGTACTTAAAGCAGCTGAACTATCGTATTTGTCCATTGGTTAGTTCACGTTTCATTTTTAACCTTCCTTGCAGAGAATGACTTGACGTACAAACACTCGTGTTCCAATATAAACAATCTGGTGATATGGTTCATATTAGATAATCCCTTTGATTTAAGTGTATGATGATGCTGCGTCGGGCACTTAACTTCCACATCTGATACGTCTTGCAGATAATTAACAATTATTCACCGAAGTGTAGGTGGTTAGTGGTGGATATTTACCAAGTCACGAAGCGGCGAGGTAAACATCCATCTCCAGCCACCGTCTCTGAGCTGAAAAGTTCTTGTAACACATCATTTATTCCTGTAACGATTACTATTTTTTCGGGGTGCAAATCCAGCGCGAATTGCTGAGAGGTGAATAGCAAAGGAGTTTGAATAGCCAATCAGAGCGCGCCTTTAACGCTATCCACTGTTTCAGTAGACACTAATGAAAGATATCAGAGAGGTCGTGGATGAATAGAATTGGATAATATTATATTGACAGGAAGAAGACAGAGGTGAAGTTCTTTTTGGAGCCAATTTTTGTAGAGAACTGTTCCTCTGACAATTAAGATATTCCCATGATCAATAACAGATTCTATTTCTTTAACAACTCCTAGGAATGAAGGACATGTACGAACAAGTGTTGAAGTATGGCGCCTATATTGTCGACGCACTGCGAGAATATGAACAGCCAGTGTTTATTTACCTCCCTCCAAATGGAGAACTTCGGGGAGGAGCATGGGTCGTAGTGGATCCAACAATCAACCCTGATATGATGGAGATGTACGCTGACCAAGAAAGCAGGTAAGATGACCTTGAAAACTCGTATAAAATAACATTGCTATGCTTTAACTTTTTCTTACGGCAACTGTATACACTGAGTCAAATTACGAGCCACAAGGCTTATACCGTTAGTGCTTTTACCCCGGGTTCATTGGCATGAGGCGACTTGGGTTATACTTCGACCTTGCATTTCTGAAATTTTCCCTGAACGGTCTCTAGTATCCATTTAAACTACTGGGTGGAGATAGGCACTGTCAGAGGAAAGGGTCTTTCCAAATAACACAACACACTGACCCGATCAAGTTTCAAACTCACTTCTTACCGCTTTCCGGTCAACAGGAGTACATAATACGCTTTTTCTAGTGAATTTCTATCGACAGAAAGGTATCAAATTATTAATATTTTGCTCCTGCGGCCTGCACTCTGAGAAAAAAGATATATAAAACTACAACGCAATACTTCAGACGAAAGGCTTGAAATACTTCGTCGACGGGTGGTAAATAGATTCATGGCCAGGACCTTTTATATATGTACGCAATGAGAACAGAACACACAAGACACTCTGTTTTATCTTTTTCGTCTCGCAGAGGTGGAGTACTTGAACCTGCCGGTACAGTGGAAATCAAGTTCCGACGTAAGGATCTTGTAAAAGCCATGCACAGATTGGATGCCAAATGTCAAGAGATCGCGCAGGCTCTCGCATCAGCAGGTAATAAACTCGCTTGATTGTAAGAGGTGAAAGTAACACAAGAAGGAGTTCACTTAAAGGCGGCTCTGCCATCCGAAATTAAAAGTATACCCGACGGTTCAGGTCAGGGAATCATAATTTATGTACTCCAAAAGGAGATATATTTACGTAACTTCAACAAGGCACACTCGAGTCAACTAACGACCTTAAAAACCTCTGCCTCAGCACACCTGTACAGATTTGCGGAATCCCATCCCGTTTTTGAAAGCACTTGACGCTTCGAAATCTCGTTAATTTTAGCTGAGCGACTTTGTTTCAGACTTACCAGTCAAAGAACGTAAAACACTGGAGAGGCAGCAGAAGGAACGAGAGGAACTGTTACTACCCATTTATCAACAGGTATGGTGAACTTGAATGAGATCCTAGTCAAGAAATATCATGCAGATATTGACTTAAAGTAGGAAAAGTACGTATGTGTTATCATTGTAAACTTTTAGTCAAGACTTTCATGCAAGAAACGGGCCAATCAATGTTGACATAGGCCATCCAGGGTGAAAAATCGAGTGCTGAAGAAAACCGAGAAATCCGTCAATCAATTACGTTTAGTTATGGATAGTGATAAAAGGTTGGGATCTGTTGTGCGTTAAGTAATCATCTACATCACGAGTTCTTAATTTGATCTTTGTACTTCCCGTTCACAGATTTCAGTTGAGTTTGCTGATCTTCATGATACTCCAGGGCGTATGCAAGAAAAGGGAGTCATATCCGTAAGTTCATTTTAATTGCTGGTCGTCCCAATTTCAGTCGTTTCGTATTTCGTCACCGTCGTTATTATCGTCGTCTGTGCCAACTGCTAAACGGAAGAAGCATTCAAACAATGTATAGTTTGAATGTCCTTTTCCCCCTTTCCAAAAAATAAACAGAGCCAAGCGAGCTATTAATTCAGAAATGCTTAGGGTTGGATGGGTCGAAACTGGATTAAAGGTACGTAACCCTAACCTGTTGTGGCTCAAAGTACTCGGCCCTGATGCGAAAAAAAAAGGGAATTTCGATTCAACTTTTGAGTTCATTCCCTGTTAGAATGTAACATTTGTGACTTTCTTTCACTTTTTAGGAAGTTCTCAAGTGGAAGGAGTCCCGCCAGTTCTTTTACTGGCGCCTAAGGCGAATTTTGATGACCAGAGACGCTAAAAGGAAGATCAGGAAGGCTAATCCGTAAGAAATCAGTGCAGTTACTTCTGAGAACAAAATGCGATAACATTCGTAAAGTCAATTTTTTTTGTTTTGCTTTTCATAGCGATATTTCAAGCCCTCAGCTCTGCTCCATGTTGGAAAGATTGTTTCTAGAGGCACACGGGAACACCAAGGTAAACATCCTTCTTGAACTTTGTACTAACATTAACTCATTGATTTTGTCCACTCAAAAACTTTTGACTCGGTGCACATCGTTAGTGGAACTGTTTCCTTCTCCCTTGTTTGAAAGATAGTAATCTGTTCTCTCGTAAATGTATTCTCTGTTCTTCTTATGCTGCAGTCTTACTTGTGGAATGACAACAAATCAGTTGTGGAGTGGCTGGAGAAGGAAGCGAGTCTAAATGAACACTCTGTCATTGACGAAAATGTGAAGTGGATAAGCAGGGATTGGATCCTAAGACAGATTAAGACGTAAGTATCCCTTCAAAATCGTTCTTTCCTTCTATGCCATGAGCGTAAACATTCAACCCGGTCATTGTCTGAAAAGAAAGAGACCAGAGATTGATCTCAAATATCAGTCGTAACGAAGAAACTAGAGAGTATACCACGGCATGAGAAATATTGGAAAAAATGTCTATAAAAATGATATTCTGAACCTTGCATATCGGATTCGAAATGTTGTAACGTTTATTTGTATCACCCCTTCACACCCTAACATCAGAGTACATATTCCCTGCACCACTGTGTACACATTTTCTATGATACCGACAAAGAGAAGTTGTGTTTAACAGTCAAGAGTTCCTTCAGTTGAGGGTCATTTCCTACTATTTGTAGCAAATTTTTATCATGTCACGATTTTGATGCTTGGTAGGTAAGAGCTTCTATTTCATCCACTGTAGACTTGTGCAAGAAAATCCTGAAGTTGCAATGGACTCTATTGTACACATTACCCAGCAAATGACTGCTGCCAAACGTGCGCAGGTTTCCAAGATTTTGGCTGCCATGGACTCTGGTAGTACTGTGGATAATTCAAATGGCGAGTCTGCCAGCTAAAACGCAAATTTTGATTTGACTCCAACTTGCTATGACTGTAGCATGTAAATAGTCGATTGTTCAGGGGAAATATTTTTTTAAGAGACAGAACTCCGTCAACTCTTTCTCTTACTTATCGCGAACAAATTTTCAAACTTTGATGAGTTTCCCCCATGTGAAAGTCATTTTACCAAAGTTACTTTGATTTCCAGGCACTTTGATTCGTACTTAGATACTAGTACCAGGAACGTAGAAAGATAATACAATTCATTCACCTGGATAACAAAAAGTATTTCTGCAGAAAGTCGAACAGTAAATGCAAGTATTATGATTGTGTGGTTTTTGCTTCTAAAGAGTACTCCCACACGCGATTACCCTCAAACCTCTCTGTGGAATTTGAGTTGACGGAGTTCTGCAGTTTGCGTTATAACGTCCATTTTGGTAACATATCGCATGCTTTGTCGCTAAAAAAAAAAAGATATCTTGCCTCGAAAAGGTATAAATAAGAACAAAAAATTGAATGTTTTCTTCAAGTGAACGAAGAGAGAGGTTGCTATTAGAGGGAACGAGTACTAGTATATTTAAAAAAACAAATTTGTGTTAAGGCAAATATTTAATATTCGCAGTGGAGTAGTTTTTCTCCAGTAGGTTGCTATTAAATCTCGTGCCTCTTAAAGTTTCTTCAAACTTATCAATGTAACTGACACAAAGATCTTGATGTTGACAAAGATGGGATATTTCTAATGAGGCTGGGAGTCAGGCTTATCGGAATGCCACCGTATTAAAAAACTGAAGTGGCTGATAACTCGATACCAGGAGGCTGATAGGAATAATGTGCCTTCCCTGTGTTACCATATGGTCTAAAATGATGATTATAGTTGAAAGTGATAAAATTTCCATAAGAAAGTTGTTTAATTGAGGGATGACAAACTCGATAGGTTTATATTTATAATGACGTGATTCTTTTTTTTCCCAAGCTGTGTGGTTCAGATTGTATTCTATGATTTTGAAACGATATTTTCTTTTACGTTGAATTAAATTTAAAGGTAGTTCTCTTTTGTCAATTCACTTAATTCAGCTTAGTGCGCCATTCAATCTCAAAGAATGAAAGTTAAGAAAATCAATCAATAAATAAAAATGTGAATTAAATTTTCCTGATTATGTTTTTTCATTTTCAAGGTTTTCTACAAGTAGATTTTGAAGAATTTCACTCAAGCAGTGATTTTACAAAAAAAATTGTCATTAAATCGCCATGATCATAATTTTTTATTCCTTAATACCATCAATCAGTTTGCTTTGTTGACCCATTCGTTGAGTAAATATTAGATGTACTGAAAATGAACGCAAGGTTTAAATAAATTCAAACTTTTATTATAAAGTCTGTGGTACTTTGTAGTTTAGATTTCTCCGTCTTGGTCATTCGAATAAAGGTCAAACATGCCTGATATAAAAAGAAAGCAACATACGTTACTAGACTTTCCACAACCCAAAGGCGCAGGAATTGGGCTATTTATTGCATGTATAAGTTTGACCTTGTAAAGAATGGAACTTGGTATCCGAGTATAATGAGTCGAAATGACATGTTAACAAAGCTTTGGTATACCTAGGTACTGATTGAAACTCTCTCTCTGCTCTGCCACTGAAAACATTCCCTGACAATCTCTTCCTCTTTTGGGGAAAGTAAATTGTCAAGCTTTAGAAGCAATGATAGAATAACATCTCGGGGACCTCACAGGATCAAAAAGCCGCACGATACAAGCAGAATTGTGACCCTGCAAAATACAAAAAATTGTGAGAGGGGAGGTGCAGTAGCTTGCATCAGCTTCATAATTACGAGCAGTAATCAAAGACAGTTACTAAGAAAGGTTACCTGTTCATGTAAATAGAAAAGTCTGTCCAGCAGGAAAACACTTTCAATGCAAGGGGCGATAGCTGCTCTCAACTGTTAACAGAAATGTAGTATATATAAATATATATATAATATATATGGTCTTTTTTTTTGTGGACTTCTACTAATTAAAGCAAATGGAATGTAAATGACATTAAAGATGCTAGGAAGGTAAGAAAAGTTAAATTATCAATCCATCTCTCGGTTACAGGTTTTTGGTGATTATCACATGTGGGGCAAAATTTCTGAATGCTTATGGCCCGAGACAGAGGGCATTTATTCTTATTCACGAGGGCACTTTTGGTAATCAAGAGGGCATGATTACTTGATGCTGATTGGTTATAAGTTGCCTAGCAACAAAGCATTATTGTTGAGATTTGTTGCTGATTACATTTTTTTGCAACAATGGCTTCCTGTTTAGTTGAAGCCACGAAGACTTAATTGAGGAACTGAAGCACGATAGCAAGAACAAAAACACTAAATGAAGTACACTTTATTGTACAAAGCATTAAAAGAGCCACAAACAGTCTGTCATCAACTGTAAAAGCAAAACTGGAGAATTGAAGACAAGTAACACTGTTGCAGTTGGGTAAATCTTCTCTGAGATGTTATTTAAACAAATGTGAACACTTTCCATAGTTTGCGCAATGTGAAAAACATCATCTTCACTCTTTCAAATATTTCACATAAACGAAAGTTCAGAGGAAATCGCTGAGAGCTGATTATAACAGCTTCTCAGAATGGGTATGTCATTTCACATATTACATCTAAGCATAGTTTGCTCTCCACCCCTTTAACATGAACGTAAAGAGTCTGAAACATAGTGTATGACTCCTCACCTGATGGAAGGCATGCAGATGCCTCTCATGGTGTTTAAATCTTGTCAGGTAAGAGTTCACTTCTTCATCAGACAACTGTAAATTGCACAAAAAATGCATGTGTTGTTTGTTCTGGGAGAAAACCATGAGAACTCCCTTAATTATTAACCCAAAAAATTAAAGAGAAAGGAATAGAAAGGATGCAAAGGAAAGGAAACAGAAAGAAAATTGCTAAGACATACCAAAGAAATTAAGACAAAGACTGTATGTACAATGTACTTTGATTCCTCGTTGGCACCTTGTGACGCCTTCCTTCCCTTAAGCTGGCCTTTGCGATTTTGTTTGTTTTGGTTTTGCAACACCAAATCAAAAAGCCCTCTACAGCACAAAGTTGATATCAATACAAACCTCACTTATTTTGTCCTTCAATCCAAGCTTATAAAGGCATTTATTAACATACTCCTTGAAATCCTTACATTTTGCACCAGCTTTGCCAACTCGCATTCCACTACAAATGTGTGAAAAAACAATTAAAGTTAAGATGGGCATTCTTCTAGGAAAACTGCCCTTTGCTTAACAATGAGATACCTAAATATTGCTTGATGTTATTCCAAGAAAAAATTAACCGCCGAGGAGAATCTACACACAGAGTAAGCTGAACCTAGAATAATTGATGAACCAAAATTGCATAATGGTTGGCTGCTATTTCTTTTACTATAATTGTGATGCCTGGTAAGTAGGAAAGAGATATATGCTCTCTTTTCTTGTGATAAATGTTTACCATATTCCTTTCTGTAATAGTTTAGTTATTTGCATAAATAAGTGGACTTCAAAATTATAATGTTCACCAACCTTCCATCCAAACCAAACTTTTCTTTCAAAATGACCTGTTATAAAGTAAAGTAAGTGTCCACATGCCAAAATTCAACTACTTCTGAACACTTTCAAAAATGGCCGAAAAATCAAGGGATCGTTCTTGCTCTGAGCCTTTCAATTGAGTTAACTATTGCCATAGTGGCTCTATATATGAAAACCAACTTCTCTAAGTACAGTCTATCATCTTCTTCAAGCTAGGTCCTCAAAGAAAAATTAATGAATTGTAATGATTCTCATACATGAAAATGTATCAACCCTTTACACACTAAAATCAGTATGTAAATTCTCTACACTGTTCTCTATACATTTCCTAAGCTACAAACAAGGAGAATTTGTTGAACAATCAAGAGCTTCTTCGGTTGGTGATCATTTTCTCTTTTCTTATGACTTTAATGTTTGATTCAGGGGTGATATTGTAAGGAGAAATAATACGCTAGTCACTCCTATGTGTCTGCGGGTTAATGGCCTTACGGCATGACTAAATATGTCAATGACTTCCTAAACCTTTGAAATTTTTGTGGTGATTCTTTGCTAAATCAACTTTATCTTGTGTCTTACATCCTTTCAATCAAAACCATGGCTTCATCAGCACAAAGCACCCAGTTGGAGTAGAAAAAGAGACTAATTAAACATACAATGTATGTCTAATTAGTCAATGTAATAAATAATGACAATAGCAATAATTACATACCTGAAGAATTGCTCTATACAGAACACTAGGAGGGGGACACTATATGAAAAGAACACAAAAGAAAAATTCTACAATTATCCATATATGTCTTTGAAACATCTATAGTCTGATCGTTAGTTGTCTAACCATGTTGTTATTAACCAAAACAGGAAATATGAAATCTCACAAAAACAAACCCATCTGTTTTTGTAGGTAAACAAATTGTTTATATCCAAAATTGTCATGTCATTGCACTCTCTTATTAAATCCATGGTTGGACTGAATAATTACTGTAAATACTGTTTCTTTACAAATTCACCTGGGATTCTGAAGATATTCTGTCTGCAGCCTGAAATGAAAGAAAACAAAATTAATGTCATAATTGGGCATGTGTGCATACAGCATACATGTATGTCATAAAAATTACCATTGCGGGTGCCTAACAACATTTTAAATGGAAGGCACAAGATTTTAAACCTCACATGCCAGAATTTCTGGGAAGAACCTAATGAAAATCTGAAAGTGGTCAAATATACTTGTAAACTGCTCTGTAAAGGCCTAGAGTAATTTTTAAAAGTCTACTGAAAAATGTGATTCATGGAAATATTTTATGTGGTTATACATTCCACCTTCAGTAGTCAGATATTATTTCTGTAAAAAGCAGTAAAATGGTGAATTTGAGAAACCAAGTATTTAATGTAATTTGTCACCTGCTGTGCAACCATTGTGGCATTCCTGCTTATCTGAAGTTGAATTGGCTTCAAGAACTGGCTCATTGGAAAACCTGGAATGTTATCAGAATCAATGGATCCTCTAGAAAAAGCTGCAGAAATACAAGGAATTGGAACCAATCTTTGGCTACATAACACTTTCCTGTACTCTGTAATTATAGTTTGACAAACAGTTGTGTAAGTCAGTTACAGTATATATATATATCTAATTACAATGTGTATTTACTTCTTGTCGTGATCATTTTATTTGACGACACTTAGTAAACTGCATAGAATCACGTTGAACACTGCACAGAGAAAGAGCTTGCAATTTCAGGGTTATTAGTATAGATAATCACATGAGGCCAAGTACTATTAAGGATTAATTGCACGAGAGTTTTCAAAATTTTCCAAAATTTTGAAAACTCAAGTGCAATTAATCCTTAATAGTACGAGGTCTCATGGGATTACTTGTTTATCAATAAAGGGCAAAATTTATGCGAAGGAAAATCACGCGCGCAGTCTATTTTTATCTGGGAAGCAACGGATTAGCAATGCAACGGATTAGCCAATCATTAACAGGTAATCATGCCCTCTCTTGATTACTAAAAATGCCCTCAATTAAGAAAAAAATGCCCTCTCTCTCAACCAATCAGCGCTCAGTAATTTTGCCCTTTATTGATAATACACAAAACAGCACAGCACACAACCCAGGAGTATAAATGATTACTTGAGAAAACTGAAAGAGAAATAAAACTGTTAGGCAGTCACCTGCTGTCTCATTACCCAAGAGTCTACAGGGGTACCTGAGGAACTTTACATGAGGGAAAGTGACAAATTGCTTGGCAGTAACCTGCTCTGTTATCACCCAGGAGTAATCATTAGGGTAAATCAATTCTGTGCCTTTGCAAACTGTCAGGGAAAATTGACTCATTGTGAGGCAGTAACCTTTGGTCTTGTTAACCAGAAGGCAAGTATAAAGGGGTACCTAAGAAAACTGTCACCAAAAATTGACAAATTGCTAGGCAGTAACATGCTGTCTCATCACCCAGGAGTATGCAAGGGTACTTTCACTTGAAGAAACTGTGTAAAAAATTCAGAAATCACAAGGGGGGGGGGGGGGGGGGGTAACCTACTATGAACCATTGAAGCCTCCAGCCAGGAAGATGAGTGATTCTCTGGATAACAAGATGTTCTTTATAAAATAGGGTTAAAAGACTTCATATAAAAATTATTTTACAAAGCACTTTTACATGTACCTGCAGTCACACTTCTAAGTGAATTTCAATAAAAAAAAATAACCATGTGAATGAAACATTTCTTCTTACCTCCAACTTCTTGTGTAACAAGGTGATAACAACAGCCTACAATACAAATCAACTTCACGGAGGATTCACTTGAAAATATTCTCAGTGCAGTTGGAGCTAAGTCACCACATGTGTGCAAACCAACTATGAACATGCCATTGCATTCAATGTTCTCCCCATCTGAAGGGGTTCCCAGTTCATCAAAAATTCTAGTTAGTGTTCCATTAGAAATATATGACTGATCAACAAACCCAGTGACAGGGACAAATGAAGTTAGGCTTGGTGCACATGTATATGATTGTTTTAATTCCCCATTCGTATCATTCTCAGAATATAAGCATCTATGGACAGCATCAGATGATCCCTTACATGTGACTCTACTGTCACCCTGTGGACTGGAAGATAATGACGAGGAAGACCTGTGTAAAGCTCTTTTTTTATCACTATCCTCACAAAAGTGGTTGCAAAGATGTAAAGAACCATCACAACAAGAAGGAGAAGCCTCTGATACAGTATCACTCCTCAATGAGCCATTATTCTCTCTTTTGGACTTTTTGACAAGTCCTGACCACACTTTCAAAAGCCTCTCATTTCTCCTGGCTGCATTTTGTGTATTGCCATCAGAGGAATCAACACCAACTACCTTTAATCCATACTGCAATGCTAAACACTGACTCAGGTAGCCTTTACCACTTCCAAGATCCAAAATCTAAAAAAAAAAAAGTTCAGTATTCACCAAAATATAATGGAGCGAAATTACAAGGTCATAAACTTGTATCTTACGGGTTTAGATGGAAGATACTTAAACCAATAGCCATGGAAAGCGTAGAAATATATCTGCTCCATCACAAGCTTTTAATTTACCTTATTGACTTGGAATCGCTTTGCTAATCTACTAATCACATCCGACATCACATCGACCTCGTACGATTTCTTTGGTGTCATGATATGAGAAATAAAATTCACTTTGCTGTTGCTAGTAAAATCCCTTTGATCTTTTACCCAAGTAAAACTCTTAAGTTGAGCTTGCCTCGATTCCTCGAGAAACAATCTCAGGTGTTCACCGAGTGTTCTGTATTCTTCTGAAGTATTATCATAAGCCAAAGTAGGTAGGTGAGTGAGTTGCTTGTGTGAAAGTGATTCGAGATCTTCTCTAAGTTGAGGCGATAAAAGGGATTCCCAGTGATTGGAAGTGAAGAATTCAACCATATGGGCATCCATTAATTCCTTCTTACTTTCTAAATAAGCAATCAAACGTTTAAAATCCTCGTTCAAGTGGTCAAGATTCGGACCACTAGTTGCTTGGATGGACGCCATGTTGGATATTGGGATAGAGTAAAGACTGGTCTCTAGTTACCAGTACCAAAGTAGCGTGCACTTTTGAAGTATTCCGGCAAGCAAATCTTGAAATCGCTTGTGCAAAACGCGGCTCTAAACTGAAACCCTATGGAGGTTTTGCATTTGGGAAAAATCTGAAAATCAGGGGGATTCCGAAAGAAAACAAGCAGTTTAAGCATTGTTTCGTAGGTTCAAGGAAACTTCCTGAAACCATTTTCTGAAAACCTTATTGTTTTTTCTCAGAAGAGCGAACGGCTTCTGTTGCGTTATAGGGCGAGAGGAAACGGTGCGTTTTCAGCGATTGAAAAGAGAATTGAGAGGGGGATGGGTAAGGATGCATTTAACCGCGCTTTTGCTGATAAAATTTTCAGAAACTTCATGTAGGTAAAGGGACACCAAGAAGAAAAATTGGTTTCTATTTCAGGACAAAGTACCTTGTAACCATTCTTTGTTGCGTGCAAAGGTAATACCAGAACATCCCCCGCCGACATTCTCAGAAATTCCTGATCATTCGTTGATACAAATGACGTCATTCAATCCTCCTAAAACAAGTTCCTGCCTTGAAGTGCCCTGCTGGATTGAGGTCACCAACTTGGTGGTATCTGTTTTCTGTGCATGCTATAAAAGATAGATCGAATTGCCTTGCGTGCATTGGAAAGTTGCCATTTGTACGTTTAGCAATCATGAAGGCTCTTCTCCTACTTTTCAGTTTGGTTTCCATTGTTCCTGCGCTTTCATATTCTTCAAGGTCGGTTAGGTCTGGTAAGTTGCCAATTGATTATCATTTTCTTCGATGAAATTTAGTAACGAAATTTCCGGTTAGTAGATAGTCCCCAGTGTTGAAGCTTGAAGATTTGAACGACGGTCATTTTGCTCTTTTACCTATGAAATACTTATTACTAGAAAGAGCATTAGGATGATTTGATAAGTTGCTTCCAAAATTTCATCCTTTGCCATCTGAGTACCTTTAGCTGCTATGTGATTTAAAACACGAGCAAGTTCCCTTTTGGGAAAACCACATATCTGCGAGGACGAATAGAAATGTTATCAGACGTAAATAATCGAGTGCGAAACCTCTCTTTCTTTCTTTCCTTCTTTCTTTCTTTCTTTCTTTCTTTCTTTCTTTCTCTCTATCTTTCTTCCTTTCTTACATTTTTAATTTTCTAAGCTAATTATTGGCCTTAACTTTTTAGTTATGTTTCAGGTATTCACTGATAAAAAGCTGAGACAAGCATCGTCCGGCTATTAAATTTAAACTCAATTGCAAGTTTTTTCTAATCAAAAGTCTTTCAAGAATACTAAGATTCGAGGAACAGGAGAATGTTTCTGAGCACTAAAATCTCATTCAGCAAAATTCTAAGTTTACTTTAGTTGAGTTTCCTTTGACCTCGCTACCGACGGCCAGGGTCTCCTACCAGACAAAGACGACAATGCAAAAATTTGATAAACAGATCCTAAACTTCATAATTGTTACTTATCTTTCATCCACTTAACATATTAATAAACGCTCATCGCAGCACGAATGCCTTCTTGTCTCCTCTCCAATTGTTTTGTTTTTTTCTAAGTTGTAAGCAACAGGGCCAAAAGATTGTTATGTGAGCATATTTTTGGCAAAGGTATATAAACTGCAGTAGTTTTGAAACGACGATCGTTCGTGTTTCTTAAATACTCAATAGGATATCGTATACTTTTATCATAAGTGCCTTTTTACAATGATTTCTTCCCTAATTTACTTACATCAGGTTTGAATTCGTCAACGTTAGTAGGGATTATTTGATGTATAAAATCGTTCGTTGATTTTAATTTCTTTTAAACTCAGACTGCGACGAGAATTGCCTAAAATGTACAGATCCCAAGTCACATTTCCCGAAATGTCGAAGATGCAAAGAAGGCTATACACTGGTTAAAACTTACATTCGACGTAGATGCGAAAGCCAGTGCCCACCCGGATCAGGACAAGTACCGGTATGGGATCCAGTCATCAGAGCTTACATTTGCGATAGAAAAACAGGTTATTAAATTTGTGAATGTATTGACGTCACCAATAGATTTTAGCAACAAATCGACTAATGTTGTGACAAGGAATGTTGCTCAACTTTAATTTATGGTTTGCAAATATGATGGTTTCGAACTTTTGGAGGAAAGATGGATATCCTACTCTGTTGTTCAGGGAATGTTCTTGGTAACTGATGCATTGAAGAGGGTAGCAAAAGTGGAAAGTGGTGGAGGGTAGGGGAGGGGAAGTCCTGATCCCGTTTCATGCACGAACTGAAAAATTCACGTGTATTGCAGTTTAAACAATATTTCACGCGTCATGAATTTAAAAGGATTAACTTCAAACCTTACCTTACCTCTCCGTCGGTAAAATTTACGCTTCACGCATAAAGCCTTTGCCAACCTCATTAAGGTCAGCGTTCTATAGCGTGGGCAAATTCACATTGGATAGGCCTCGAAGCCTAATGTCTGTTACTGGCGTAAGCCAAAGAGTGAGTAGGAGGTGAATTTC